CCCATGCAATACTTATACTTCAACTCATCCGTGAAGAGGAGACCGACCTGGCAATGTATGGAATCTCCTAGCCACGAAATTCGTCGCAGATAATCCAGCAGGTGGTTGAGTAGAATCTGTCGAGGCTCGAGACTGTTGGGGCCAGACACTAACCTCAGAGTTGTCTGAGAGGCTTAGAAATAGGGCTCGCCATAAATAAGCTGGAATCACGGAAACTGTGTTCTCGTTTGCCTATCGTTTAAGATGGAGACACGAGTATCAGCTGTTCCGAAGTTACAGGGTGTGTATCAGAAGCGGCGAGACTCTCCGACATGATTTACGACTTCCTTAGCATATGTGACAAGAAGACGAATGTTATACCTCAAAGAGAAACAAACAACAAGCACCCAGGTATCCTGAAGGTTGGTTTTTGCAATACACTGGCTGTATATAGACAAGCAGGTGTTGCATCAGGATTGATGTTAGTAGCCGTCTCTGCGAGATGCATGAACAACTCCGGTCCATTTTTCTGGTAGCCGAAGCTAGGGATTCCACAATGCCGAGATGGAGAACAGAGCAGAATGGGTATGATGGACTGAGCCTTGCAGCTGCAGGAGCCGCAGCCAGCAGGGTGGTGGCGCCGGTAGCATGGAGCGGAGAATAGATCCAATGGGAGATAAACGCGCCGGTAAATTCATGCGGAGTTTTCTCGCGGTGGCTCCCCTAGGAACGCCAGTTGCCGTATACGGTAAAACGAGAGTGGTGCGATACCGGAGAGCAGCAGCAGCGCCTCGACCCTTCAAATCTGCCCCTTCCTCCAGAGCGCGTCTTGTCTCTGTTCCTCGACAATGTCCACCCCTCCGTTGTCGAGCAGTAGCTCGTCGACGAGCTCTCCGTCGCCCAGTATTGATCACTCCCAGCTCAGTGCCGATGATAGTCTTGAGCTTCTCCTCCAGACGATTTCACAGCACGCTACATCTAGTTCTGAGCCCTCCGCTCAGGAAAATGCGCCCGCGGATTGGGACCAGCTCTCAGAATGGGTGCAGAACAACGACACAAAGCTTCCAGACTTTGGCAACTTCAACTTTTCCCTTCCTATGGACCTCGACTTCGACTCGAATATGGCCATTGACCCAAATGCGTTGCACTTTGATTCCATTTTCGATACCTCTGGACTTGCACTTCCGACAAATAACTCCCTGCTAGTACCGCCTGCTAACATACCCAACGACTTCGTTTATCCCCCTGCGAACGAGATGAATTGGATGGCACAGTCGCATGTTCAGCCGGAGACGGGACGTCGATTGAGCGTTACCTCTTCCTCGTCTTCCTCGGGGGCGTCGTTCTCCCCGGTTTCGGAGCACGCGTCTGTCAGTAGCTCTCCGAGTGACAACTATGTCAGCGACCCAGCACAGGAGCTCGCACACAAGGTCCGACAGATGGCTGGTGTAACGCTCGCCGTCCCCGTAAGCGCACAAGTACAGCAAATGGCTGCAGCAGGCAAGCTGATTGCGTACTTCATGTTACTTCACTTTTTAATTTCATTACTTAGGTGGCCAAGCTAAGCTTCCAATCCCTCGTCTTCCTCGACCAGTCGTTGCTCCTGCGAGCAAGCCTCCCAGCCCCAAAAGTTCCCCTGGCCCTGAGTCGGCTTCATCCTCGTCACCTTCGTCACCTAGGATGGAGTCTCCAGGTGCCGTGCCACCTCCTGTACAATCGGTTATAGGCCGCCCAAAGACGAGCCATACAACCATTGAACGACGGTATCGGACAAACCTAAACGCTCGGATCACCGGACTCAAGCAGGCGGTCCCAGCCCTGCGAGTATTAGAGGCAAAGGCAAATGGACAAGAAAATCCCTTTAACGACATCGTGGACGCGCGAGGTTTCGTCGATGGAGTGAAAGTTGCTCGGAAGATGAGCAAAGCTAACGTGCTCGGCAAAGCTGCTGAATACATCAAGTATGTTAAATCGAGATTGCTCGTTGTGATTGCTCATTACCTCGCAGAGTGCTCAAGAAACGGGAAACGCGACTGAAGCGAGAACAGGATGGCCTCAAGTCACTTATCGCGGGTCTCGTCGGTGGACCGGCGCTTTTGAAAGAGTGGGAGCGTGAGTGGCGGGAGAGCTTCGGCGGAGAGGAGAAAGATGAAATCGAGGAGGAAGGTGCTACAGCCGTCAGCGACGAAGAGGATGGTGATGGAGAGGATAGTGATGGTGAAGATGGCGAAGACGGCCGTGCGCGCAAGAAGGCGAAGGTAGTCAAAGCAGCTAAGAAAGAGAAGGCTCCCCGCCCGCCTCCTCAACCCGCTGCAACGGCTACCGTCCCTGGGGCTATTCCAGAGAAGCGTAAGCGTGGTAGACCACGTAAAGTTCCTCTCCCCGCGGCTGCACCTGTTACCCCGCTAGCCCCCGTGATTGCAGACCCACAAGCTGTCTTCCCGATGGGCTCGCAATTGCCCATGGCCGTAGATAATGCTGCTCAACAAGCTCCTGCTCAGCAGTATCTTCTGGCAGCTTTCGCATTTTTCTCTGTTTTTAACTCGCCTCTGGCGTCTCGATCGAACGCGCACACCTCACAACATGCTCACCACGGCTCAGTCCTTACGCCCCACGGTCCCATTGCAACGGAGATGCCTTTACCTAGATACTCTTCAATCGGTGGGTTCGGCTTCCACGAGGCTGTACAGGCTGCGCACCTCCTCGTGTCGACGCTGGTGTTCTTCTATGTCCTTGTTCCATGGCTTTCCAGTGCGCTGCGACGCGCTCGTGGACTACCTGCATGGTCGTCGTATTTTATTCGTGTTCCTGTGCGCTGTGCACCAACAGTGACCTCCAATCCAGGTAAAGCCCAGGAGAACCTGAACTCAGTGAAAGCAAGGAGTCAGTATCGTTCTGCTCTGATGGACGACCTGCTCGATGTGCTGAGCCCAGCAACACGAGGCTCGCCTGACGAAGCAACGCGATTACGAAAGGCACTAGGCGTCAAAGATGGACTTGTCGGACTGATGCAAGGCGTCATCAAGGCTGGCAGAGTCGATCGTGGCATTGAGCTGAACCAGCTGGAACAGAGGGCATGGGTGAGATTGGGCGAACTGATTGCATTTAACGGTGAGCTATTCCCAGGACCTTCGAGGTCTTTGTGTGCTCACACATAGTATACAGACAAAGTTGGAAAGACCACACGTCTGCAGACCTACTGGTGCATGTCGTGGCACATCTCGACGTTCGCCGCCTCCACGACAGACCTCTCTACGCTAGCCCTTATAATGCGCCCCGTGTCGTCTTCGAAGGCTGCCGCTTTATGGGATGCTGCTCGCGGGCGAGAGTTCCTCCGCCCTCATGAGAAGATTGTACTTGCTAATATGAGCGTCGATGATGCTGCGGAATGGCTCGCAAAGTGGCAGCAATGGCACAAGATTGAGCGCAAGAGCCGATGCGCCGCATGCGAGAAACGTACCCCGCTCGGTGTCCTCGCCGCGATTCTCATCCGCGCGCGACTCCGCAAGCACGCTGCTGCGCTCTTTGTTCGCACAGTCGTCCGTGATGCAGTTCTCCCCGCAGTTGCGGGAGTGTGCGCGGATGATGAAGAGCGTTATGTGTATGACGCAGAGAAGGATTTCAAAGAGGAACAGGAACGCACGGAAACCGTCCAAGCAGGCAAATCGATTGGTGGCCGAACAGCAATTCTCGCAATGCTGCTCGAGCGCATCTGGGACACTGGCTTCTGCACACACGAAGATGTCCTTCCAGTTCCTCACCGAGATAGCTCAGATGAGGGCGTGGATTGCGAGAACGCGCATGACCTTGCTAGCACGGACGAGGCTGAAATTCGTTCCTTGCTCAGTGCGACGCTCATTTACCGCCGCATATTCCCATCCTCATTCCCCTCTTGCTCTACCTCTGTATCGTTCATCCTTTCGCCGCCGCCGTCGCCATCGCAGCGGAATGTCGCCCTACACATGGCGCTCCGGACTGCCTTGGGCTCGCCAGCGTTCGAGTTCGGCAGTGGCGGACGTCTCGACGACGAAGAGCTCTCTGACGCATTGGAGGACGCGCGTGACCGTGTCAACGATATGCTCGTCGAGCTGGAAAAGTCGTGCCGCAGAGCGCCTTTAAGGCGTTAGAGCTATCGGTGTAGTATGTCATAGGATGTTCCCATGTCTTGCTTTGCTTCCTATAGACCATTTCGTTCTTCGTAAATTTATTAGGGCTGATTTCTGATTATGGTACCACCCAGCAGGAGCTCGCAATGCGCCTTTGCTTACATACACATGTATAACCTACGATACATTGTCGATCTTGGAAAAATAGACCGTGTATATGAACTCGTCGATTAATGGAAGAATTTTTCAAATGGATGACCGTATATACACTCGAAACATTCTACATGGATTGTAAGATGATCAAGCTGACCAACCTGCTTACTTTGCGTGCCGGAAAGCTCGTGGAGGTCGACGAAGCCGTATGTGGCAAGGCTCAGCCAGTTACGGCGTGGCCATGACCGGCTAAAAGAAGTCGAATTGAAACGAAAACACAGACAGACCGTGAAAAACCTTCCCTTTTAACCTCACAGACTGCTCATTCCGATACAAACCCGATATAACTTTATAAAACTAGTGCTACGAGGCCAGATATTGAAGGCATCATCCTTCCGGCTCTTGTTTGGGTTGCTGGCATTCTGTCATATGTTTCCTCGGCAAACTGCCGATCTACAAGCCAGCGAGTGTCCAAATCAACGATTCCCGATATTACAATGGATACTGTAATCGTGAAATATGTCAGCAAAACCTGACGATTCAAGTTCGTGCCGGCTCCCGCGACCAGAAGGGAGTCCAACTGGCAACAAAAAGATGATGTTTATATCTCTTCACGTATTCCTCGCCCCGTTCCAATCCCGGGATGGTTAGTAGCAATCGAGTCCCGTCAGGAAGACTTTGCACAACTAGCAAACTGACAGATCTTTCGAGCGCGGAGTCAGAGCTCACTACAACCCACTTGTGATCGCCCGAGCTCAATAGCAGATGGTTTGGATACATTTGATTTAGTAACCTGTGTCAACGCCTCACTCAAGGCATCGTTATACCGAGAGAAATACATCGAATGTATATAGATACCAAATGATACATTGTGCGCCGAACACACATTATACAACTTCCACGAAATTAGCAGGGAATACACCTTCGCGCCCATCTACCTTGCCCTTCCACCAGGTATTAATATCATTACTCTTCTCCGTGACGGTAATAACTTGCCCCTTCGTGAATGACAGGTCGCCAGACTTAGATCTCAATCAGTTTATCACTCTCAAAATATGACACAAATATGCTCACCTGAACGGCGTTGAAATTATACAACGCAATAGCACGCGCAACGCCTTCATGCGGCCTCAACGGCTTCGTCAGCTCCGCCTTTGGTACGATCTTCGGCGGGGGCGGGGTCTTACTGAGTTTGACGGGCGGACGGCCCCCATAGTCCAACGTATCGAGGTCGTCCCTCGACTCGAACGGATCACCATCTGATGGAGGCGCATACGCACTATAAGCGCGACGGTTACTCGCTACGTCTGATCCCGTGAGATTGGATCGCGCAGAGTCGAAGGGAGGTAACGAATTGAACGGCGAGCCAACTTGAAAATCCTCATCATCGAATGTCCTCGCATTTGGATTCGACACACTGAGCCGCTTATGTCGCCGTAACTCCTCATCCGTCGCGAAGTCAGACTCGAATTTCGTGTCGAAGTACTCTGTAGTGGGGTTCGGCTTGCGCAAGGAGCGCGAGGACGGGCGATCCTCCCACGCGCGCCGTGATGATATTGTAGACGAAGGTGAGTCCGTCTCTGCCATGTCCATGGGAACCGGTGCGCGAGCTGGGTCATGAAACTCGGATGCAAACTGTGATGCGGAGCTTTTGCGGCGGCCCCAGCTCGTCGGCGAGAATGACAGACTGCCTGAGCGCGACTTGGTCTTCTTCATGTTAGGCCTTGTTTCCGAGGCACTGCCATAGAGCTCATCTTCAGCATAACTCGACGAAGGACCCAGCTCGTCGCGGGGACTTTCAACTCCGTCAAACATGTAATTGCTGTCGTGACGCGCCCGAAGCTCCTGCACCCACCCTCTACTACCGGGCATACCGGTGCACGCCTCTAACGTCCTGATCAATGGCTGAGCCCACTCGGGCGGTGGAACCGCGCCACTCAACAGAGTCTTTACCGAGATATCGTTACGATAAGCTTGTGCATTGGCGTCTTGACGTTCAACAATCACCGAGCCCTCTATGGATACGCCACCAAAGAGTCCCCTGGTTTTTGAATAGCTATACCTGTAGAGGAGGTTAACGAAGACCTTCCGAGGTAAAGTGGGGGACATGCACACATTGCTGCCATCTTCCCTTTGGTGTTCAACGAGCCACTAGCCTCTCCATTCCTGCCGAGCGGCCCGACAGCAATGCTCAAATTGCCTCCGAGGGTGAGGGAGCCTGCAGACATGAAAGACCTCTAATCAAGAATTGTCAGTGAACAATACAGAGGTAGTGTGGTATACAGTCAGGGAATTGCAGATGGAAAAACTGTATGTTCCCCCACACGAAGGCTTCGGAATGCCCGATCCCCAGCGCGCGCTTCTTCAGGATACCGATCTCAACCACATGCTTAAGGTGGTCGCGACAACATCCAGTCAGAGATCGCCCTCATTGGCATCGAGGGTATGGCGCAAACACTTCTCACGCTCATCACCGTCCATATACGACGTAATAAGCGGAAAAACTCAAGACCATTTTCCCAGCATTGACTGGATAGAAGTGGTCCCATCGGGTCTCCACCAATCACTAAATGGTGGGAATCAACTGGGGGAGCCGTCCGGGATTTGGGTACGAGATCGCCACCTACGTGTGACCTTCTTCGAAACGGTAGCAATTATAGATCGAGCCTCAAAACAGTGCCAAGCCTTTGCGCAGCAGTGGCCAGAGTCTTGCCGATATCGAGGCAACACAAGGTGCGCTTTCCTCGCTGCTACCCATATCCCAAGTGGTGGGGAGAATCACCACAGCGTGAAAGGGAAGCGAAGGGGGGAGGATGGAGCCATAGTACGGAAATTGACTTACCACGGCCTAAGGCATGGTCAACCTCTGACACCGGTCTCAGATCTGGGATAGCTCACCGAACGTGAATTGAGGACAACCAAGAAATCCGTCATCTCGGCGCCAGCTTGACCGCCTACTCCAACACCTGCCGTTCCAATCGCACTCGGGGCAGACCATGCTACAGCCAGGTCGCTTTTATTACATATCCTTGCAAAAGAGGTCATCATTCACATCACTTACTTCCGTCGTCAAGCCTAGCAATGACTATTCCAGTGCCTGCGCGGGCGGAAAAGAGAAATCCAGCCTTGATGATGGTGAAGATGGCAAATCCCTTTGCATTTTGCAGTACACTGCGTGGGATGACCTGTATGTAGAGTAAGCATCAGCATTTGAACAGAATATCGGATCGGATAGATACGCACGCCGTCGAGCCCGTTGTTGCCACTATCCACAAATGACTTGACTGCGGAGACTTTAAGGCATGGTGGATGGTCATGAAATGGAAAACGCACATATCTTTGCTGCTTTGTCGCATTCTTTAGGGAGAGGCTGAGGAAGTGGCGTATTGAGCTTCATGATAGTTTGAAAGAAAGAAGCGATGGGTTGGAACTTACTTATGGTCGGAACTGTATGCCCGTCCTACTACCCGCATGTGATCCTGTGCGAGGTGGCGGAGGTAGCAGTTACGTCAGCCAGACCTCCTCCTAATTCTGATCAGTCGCACCAGACTTGGACCAGCCTCTTATTGAGGCTCCGATCAAAATCTGACAACTACAGAAACAGCTCAGCCAATCGGAGCCCAAATCTCTGCCACAGGCAGAGGAAAACCGTTCGGACTGACGCCTCGTATCCTTGCGCCAGCACCTTATCACCCCTGTACACGATGTCCTACTGGAAAGGGGCCATTTGTTTTCTGGCGCAGAACACACCGGACAGCTCCGCCTTCGCTAGCAGCTCTAGGTTTGCTCATGCAAATACGATGATGGACTTCTAGATAGTAGTGAGAGCTACATTCATAATTTTGGTGTGTGGAGGCTATGTGCGTAGAACGACAACTTGCAATGCAATGCTTTCGTACTTTGAATTTTCTGCGTATACCTGTGAATCGAGGGGTGCTACGTGCTCCAACGTGTGACCTGAATCAAATGTCGGTATGTTTCTGCATATCATGGAACTGCATTATTGACTCGGAAGCGGGGAGAGATTGCTCATGTTAGAATACAGGTTTAGTGTGACCAAGAGTATCCTCAGTTGTCTGGAGGGAAACGTTTCCGATCTTGCTTTTCATAGCTATGGCAGGAGAATTGCATCGCACAGGTTGGATGTCTGCACATGCTTGATCGAGTGTAGGCCAGCTAGTGGGCATGTAATTCCCTTTGCAGTTAGTGTTTACTACAAGGTTCGTGCATTGTGCTCAATTCAAATAGTAATTTATATTCTAATTCTGGACATCCTTTATTTGTCAGGACATCGCTATCCATTGAGATGGTCTGCACCGTCTGCTTGGTACTGGCGCAGCGTCCATTAATCAGAATCGACCCGTAGTCCAACTATCGAAGAGCGCAGTTACCTGCGGGGTACCCTTGCACCGTCCACACCGTGAGATACCATAAAACCCTTCAATAAATCGATAATTGTGGCCGTGCCCGTTCGTTGAATCTATTACATTGTTGCCGTATGTATTTGCCATCCGTTCCTGTTCTATCTCCTAATGGTAGCCTTCGAGAATGGGATCGATGATATCCAATCCGGCGGCTATTTGTCTACGAGATGCCGCTTTCTGACTGCCCTGGCATCGTGGCATATTCGCGGGCCAAGCTACGGCAAAACAACCCCCTTCTCCCGCCGCAACAGGCAGCCAGTTTGCAGAAAGCAGGTTGCCAGCGCTAGTCCGGCCGCCATGACTCCGCTGGGATAAAGGAGAGCTCGCACATATATACTTATTAAACAACACCAGATGTTGGTGAGTGTGCACTTATAAGGTTTGGTTGTATGTCCGTAATCAAGTTGTCACATAGATATATATACACTATCAAGATATCGTTCTCAGAGAAAGCGGGATCAAATGATAAGTATCACCTTCGCGGCCGACCACCATGTCGACACCTGAACCCACTAAGAGCGTCGTCATCCTGGGCGCTGGTGCGTTATCGATTATTCTAGGCTGTAAGTCAACCCTGCTCACGGACCTACATCAATCACTAGGTGTCATCGGCCTAACCACTGCGGTGTCCATACAAGAGAAAGGCGGATATAGCGTCACCGTCATTGCAGAGACGTTTCCCAGCGATCCAAAGAGTGTCAAGTACACTAGTCTTTGGGCGGTGAGTGAACATCGAAAATCTTTCTGTTCTTCAATTTCGATCGAACGCGTCGCTCAACGGATTGCGCGTGCCAGGGCGCGTACCATGTCATCTATAGAGAAAATGATGAAAGAGAACGGAGTATGTGGTACTGATTTATATGTGACTGCGAAGACCGCTAACAAGTCCAAAGAAATTCAAGAAGATACATTTAAAGTTATGTGGAATCTATCCGAACCCGACGGAGAGGCAGAACACTGCTTTCGCCGCGTCACTACCCTCGAGTATTATACGGACCTTGTGGATATGCATGCGGAGTGGATGCCAGATGTATGTGTTTCTATGGACTTTTTTCAAGCTCGCTGATGGAACAACACATCTCTGCAGTTCACAATGATCCCAGAGGAATCGCTCGCCCCGAACACACTAATGGGCTATTCATTCACAACATACGTCATTGATCCCCCACTCTACTTGAATTATCTGCTGTCGCGCTTTCTCGCTCGCGGTGGTACCATAGTACGAGGCGTGGTACAGCATATCAACCAAGTATTAGAGGGCGGTGCGGGAATTTTTTCCGGCAAGCACTCTTCGTCGCCTATAGATGCCTTGGTGGTGTGCACTGGCCTTGGCACCCGGGTCCTCGGTGGCGTGGAAGACAAGGATATGTACCCGAGCAGAGGCCAGACTGTTCTAGTTCGTGCTCCTTGGATTACAAAGGCGATGAGAGCCAGCAATCTGGTTGGTACATCGTGGACGTATATAATCCCACGGCGTAATGGAAACGTATGTTTCATTCCTGCTGTATTTCCAGACGGTTCAAATTTTCACTGCGTCCAATAGGTAGCCCTAGGCGGCACGAAAGTCCCGAATGATTGGTATATGATACAATGAATATGTTGGGCATCTTTCATCTAATTCTTTTCAGGTACCCTGTAGCGCGACCCGAGACTACTGAAGAGATCCTCCAGCGTTGTTTGGCTCTTTGCCCTGAGCTTGCGCCACCAGAGGTCCGCGCTCAGCGAACCCCCACCGTCGAGGACATTCGTCCACTTATACTTGATATAGGCTGTGGTTTTCGACCAAGTAGAGCTGGTGGGATCAGACTCGAAACTGAGTGGGTGGACATACCGAAAAATGATAGGAAGATACCAGTGATGTTCAACTACGGGTACGTTGATATAGACCAATGAATACCTTTGAGTTCGACTCAAAGAACATTTTAGACATGCTGGAAGCGGGTATGAATCGTCTTGGGGTTCAGCCGCAATCGTGCTAGATTTCTTGGAAGAAGCACTTGTTATCAACTAGTTAGAATTCGCGGGTTGGTGTAAATATCGGTTTAAATGACATAGTCATTGATCTTTTGTGCTATCTATGAGGAACGATGACAAACAGCTCTAGGTAGATATTAATGTCGCAGCGGGGACTTCGGCGAACCACCATTTTCTCAAACGGCCATCAGGTCCGAAATCGACACGTCCAGCAAAGGGACGCTTGGATAGCATGAGCGGAAACCACATAGGATCCTCTTCCCACATCTGACCAAACGGAATGGGCTGTAAGTCCGAGGTAGTATTGGAGGGTTCTGCGTCTGCATCAATGGAGAACCATTGGGGACGCATCTCATCAGTTCTAACGCCGTGCATCAGTCAAAGATGACTTCTTTAATAGTGAAGAAGGTCACTCCATAATGCTTCCCGAATATTCATCGGCATAAAATACTTCGATATGAGCTGCTTCTTTGGTGTCCGCATTCTTGAAAAAGATCGTCCCCCGGTGCTCGAGAGGTGCTGTGATGCCAGCCTCTTCCTAACATCGCGAGAAGTTAGATGGACCACTTTGGAAGCGTTTGGGACATTCACCTCTAGTTCACGACATGCGGCTTGAAGAAATGTCTCTCCGGAATCTACTTTCCCTCCAAACCCGTTCCAACTTTAGGCAACGTTAAGGTCGAGGTACATCCCATAAATGAGTCACTCACAGGCCCCGCCCAAAACCTCTCTTCTTATACCCCAACAAAATCTAGAATAAAGAATAAAAATTTTAACGAGAAGAATGGCGAACCTGTACGAAGACTGCTACGCTAAGACACGGACGTGCATCATACCTTTCCTTTGCTTGTAATGTAGGCATTTGTATAAAGCCTGACACTGTCATAATCGTACCATGCGGACGACCCGCCTTTGCATACCTCCGTGACCGTATGGTCAATTCGCAGGCCGGGCGGAATTTTCGTCATACAACTTGAGTCTAGAGAGCTTTCCGAAGCCTGCAAGTATCGGATCTTTGCTAGCTGGCAATGGATCACCGGTAAAGCCTGAGGCGGTGACACCGACCCGAGCTTGACGCGTTCAATAGCAACATGTGACCGCGCTTCCCATGGGAACTTTAAGTTTCAGAGTTCACGCCAAGTTCACGCTGTTTGGTGTTCTTCTAAGGTTAGCCTACGCGTCATCCATGAATCCACGTTGAACAGCCATACCACTGTTTGCTGGTAACTTCAGCACTCATTCAAAGATGTGCGCATACTTCCTAATGTCTGGTTTCCATTCCATCAGCAAGACTTAAGTCAAAGACTTCTGACGGACGGCTGGCTCTCGGGATCCTTTTTGGTCCCTTCATGACATTCTCTAAGGACGTCGAATTTGGGGTTTCGGAAGTATGGAAAACTAGGTGATTTTCCTCTGGACATATATAAGCGCATCTTGGCCCGTCACTGGCAATACACTCGTACTCTCAAGTCCTGCGGCCTCATATTTTATGTATAGGTGCCGACTACAAGAAAATACTTGTTTCATTCTATGCGGATGCATAACGTCAGTAACTGTTCCTGTCTCAGCAATCTATACCAGGCATCGTCGAGTTCGTTGTCCACAGGCGCGTGGGGATCTTTTCATCACTTAAACAAAGTAGAAAGACAAGATGATCCGTGGCAACATGAATGGCTCCCGGGCCTGATATTCCTGAAATGCTTGAACAAAATCTTGCCGTGGGCCACCTCGACAGAGGAAGTGAGATCTATCTTCTAAGCCTTCATACCCCTACTTGACGTACTCTATCTCATTCTCTTCAGTCTGTTCAGTTTACCTACCGAAGATATAGAGATGAGAGTGAATATACAATAATCAGCCGCCACGTGTACCCTTCTGACGTTGATCTCAGTAGGACCAACTGATCTGGACCTTTCTTAAAGCAAGGACGTAGTGTCTCTCCAGTTGACACATGTAGAAGATGACATTCGCAAACTGCTTGCATCTTGTCTACCTTGGAGTCCACGTACTTATCCGAGCTGGTGCCCGGCTTCCAAATGAAAGGCCGTACGCAAATCCCTGGTTCGGAAGTCGTCGACTGGATATCCGTGTATTAAGTACTAGAGTCTTTCGCACGTAGGCTTCCCAGCCTCGTCATTATGTTCTGACTTCAAGTGATTCATGACGCCCCACATATCATCGATTTTATCCTCCAAATTACTTGCCACCTGCCAAAGACAACTGAAGTTCGTGCATATCTATTGCGATTAGACTTCACATTTGATGATTCGACAATCAATGATTTTGCCAATTAACGCACAAGTGTCTAGGTGTCTTGCACCTGGTAAGGTGACTTGCATATATGACGATTTTAACTGAAATGGTGTGATGAACAGGTTGACGTTACCTGAAACTTCACAAAGCTTATTGCTATCCTGTTGTCGTATTGCTGTTGTTATAATCTTTGTTGATATCGAATTTATAGGCCTGCAGTCGCGATGGCAGTTTCACAGCACACTGATGCACTGATCGTGATTGTCGAGCTGGGCAATATGCAAGTATGCCGACCGTCACTTGGACATGCTTTTGTCGGAATTAGACTCACGCGTCTCGAAGCTGAGGCTATCGACTCGCCGAGCCTTCGACCCTTCAATGGTCTTCATGTCATTATTTTACTCACCTAGTCCCGAGCAGTGATCTTGAGCAGTGAGGCCTGGACAGCGATTGGAATGGGAACGTCACGGGCCCTGGACGCCGGTCATCTGATCGCGTTTACTCCTTCGTCCCGGACTCCTCTGTACTGTGTTCTTCGCAACGCCGTCAAAGCAAACATTTCAATTTTCGCTTATTGTGCTTACCATGGGAATAAAAAAGGTAAAACATGTTCGTACTTGTGAGACTGGGGCAAAGAAAGTAACTGCTAGTGTGATTTTAGGGGCCCATCGAAATAAGGGATTATTGACGACGCATTGACAATCATGAAATCGCTCACAAACGGATGGGCTTCTGGCACCTCTTTCTTTTGTGGAACACTTTGCTCAGCCTGTCCTAGCTCTCGCCGCCATGTGTCTTTGGATTCAAGTTATACGATGGGCCTATTGCCCTTGGAGTTGTACCAATTGGTCCTGGATTACATCTGGAACGATCCTCAAACACTCAAAGCATGTAGCCTTACTTGTCATGTGTGGCTCGGAATCACACGGCCATATCTGTTCAGTACCGTGATACTGCGTAAAAGGAAAGATTGTAAACGTCTCCATAAACTCATCAAGGTTTCGTCAAAGGCCTTGTCCACAAGTGCCGTGGATTGTTTCCGCCATTTGGTGTTATCTGAGACGCTCTTTGGCAGAAATTGGCACAATTCATGGTTACCCAAGTTGTTGAAGGGATTGAGCAACGTCACGCACTTGACCATCACTTATTTATGGTGGACGATACTGAAAAAGCCAGCTCAACGCGCTTTGCTTGACTTCGTTCCTCAGCTAGAGATTCTCTGCATCGAGCCCCTAGGGATTATCAATCTTGATGCCATCCCTGCCATATTCTCCGCATGTCCAAACCTGTCCGTCCTTCAAGTTGCTGACGCAAGCCGTATATCGAAGCCCTCCTTTACAAGGCGATCAGGAAGCCAAGCGTGCCTTTTGGAACTGTTCATGAATGCGCAGTGTCACCATGCCGAAGCGATGTTTGTGCGACGGCTCTTTCAGTCGCCGATCAAGCTATCATTGCAACGAGTAACTTGGATGCAGTGTGTATCTCGGTGCGGCCGGCATTCGACTCATTGGAACTGCGCTACTCTCCATTCGATACTCGGCCTGTCAGTGGCGACACTGGAACATCTCAAATTTGTGTACCAGGTATGTGGGGACGATGGTGAGCATTTTGCGTGTCTGAACTTTCGTCTCCCGTCTACAACGCTTTTCCAGAAGGGCCAACCGATTTGGTGCTTTCTCAAAATGAAGCCATCGTATCACTTCACCTGACACACATACAGAGCGGCCACCTTCAGCCAACCTGTGCATGGATGGCAGCGGTTCTCTCCACCGTGCGCTCACCGATTATGCGAGAATTGGTCCTTGAGTACCAGACGGGAAATTGCAGCCAGACTTCAAGTATAGACCTATTTGAGTGGTCTATCATCGACAGAGTGCTGGAATCTCTGGCCCATGGCCTCCCGGGCCTCGTTGTCAAGGTCAAGTTCAAAATATCTGGGACCAAAGGCACTGTTGTGGACATCGTGCGCAAAATCGGTCGTCAAATGCAGTATGTCACTGTAGTGCGGGGGCAGTTCTTGAAATTCGATGTGACATATGAGGATCCGCCAAAACGACTGATCCTGTCATGGAATGCCGACTACCACAGCGGTGAGCTTTGCTGTTGCGTGGTCTTGAGGAGATTCATGACTGTTGTATGCGTGTCTCACAGGTCGATACACTTGAGTTTGAGTATTTTGTTATTGTCACTGCATTGTCCACTCCAACTTGTAACCACAATTGAAACGTCACGATTCTCTCCACTTTACCCTCGGCCATAGATCCCCTACTTTGTTAGTGCATTCGGGTCGCTCAGAATCAATCGCACCTCTAGGTAAGGTGGTATTTGACGACCGACATCATCTACTAAAATTCTTATACCAACATTACACAGCGAATGCACACATCCTCTATTGAGGTGCTCGAGGAAATGACTAGGTCGATACATCACTAGCACTGACATGCGCTGCTTTGCATACTATCCCTTTTTTCATGTGGCTTCCAAATTCACCTCCTCACATTTCCGCCATTTTGAAAACTATAATGATAGTCTCATCTCTGCTCAACGGTCGGCATGTTGCAATTGTAGCTGACACATGTTCTGCGGCTTCCGCCAAATGATGGCACAGATATTGTGAACGATGACGCTGAAGTTTCAAGTCATGAAGAATCTAGACGAGATGAAATGAAAGGTTGGTAGTTTGTACTCCCATCGACATTGTCGAAGATATGGTTACGCCTCAGACAGTGCAAAAGCTAGTAACATTGGAGGGTACAGATCAATATTTGTACAGATCTGGATATCCAGGCCAATATTAATCTATGCGAACGACAATCTGTTAGTACTGCCGTGGGTCTGCCAATGGATAAGATGGTATATTTCTGTGTCGATCTGGTGTAGGATACTCCGAAGGCAGTTGCAATTGTAATTCGTAACGAACTCGCCTGGCACTACGAACTCGCCCATTGGGGCGGGATACAGATAGTGCCTTGGCTTTCTTTCGCTTGCGTTTTTTTTTGGTTAGAGTTGTACAATAATCGGATAGGTCGAAGGAACTTATAATCCTGCTCTGAGTGAATGTACCCCCGTGTCGGCCCAGAATACGTGAAATATTATTTCACAATGCTAACATAATGTCTGCATTAAAATTACAACTGGCGTAACAGAGAACGCCATAGCAAGGAGCAAATTTATATCGATATCTTTCTGTGCGACTGACAAGAATCAAGCCAAGTAGAAACCGCGCTCCAGCCGACGCAGGATCACAGTTGCGAATTTGCTGCTGTCATCCCACCGCCTCCCTCCGTCTTCCCATCAGCCTTTCCTACTTCTTCCGGTTGCTCTTGAGAGCTTTCCCTTCGCACCCGTCCACGCGGTAAGAGCGATCCCGTCTCCGCCACCCGGGCACCTCGCTCGACGCTTGCTCGTCGGCTCTCGCTTTGGCCTCTGCTTGAACTAAGCAGGTTGCCCGTCTCTGCCACCCGTCTCTCAAAGCTACCTCTGCGATGGAACGAGTTACCTCGGCTGCTATATGACTCCGCTGGGGACACGGCCGCGTCGTTATTGTGCGAGAGGGACATGGGGTGGGAGAGGGAGACATAGTAGGATGCGGAAGGCGAGCCAAACGACGAAGAGAGAGAAGGGGGAGGAACGGAAGGATATGAGAGCGTGGTTGCGGCACCGGGATAGGGCGCGGGTGGATTTGAAGTCAGCGATGCAGAGGACGGCGGGGTGGTGATGGCCGTCGTTGCGCTAGCGTAGCTAGTGGGGAGAGGTGATGCGGAAGTCGGGGAGAAGGGAAATGGCGAAGATGAAGAAGACGAGGGAGAATGCGACAGGGGCATCGTCACTTCGGATATATTGTTCGCAGGACGGTGAATTTGCGAGGGTGGGCGTGGGATGGGTACTCCATGAATAGGGACCCCATGGTTAGAGCGGGAATTGTGAGACTGCAGTGGACTTGGGCTGATCAATACTGAAGTAGAAGGCGACGAAGTATTTGAACTCGAGCGGCGGTGAGTAGGCTGTGAGTACGGGTCTGGTAGACCTATTAGATTGTCTACTGGCAAGCCGAGCTGCGCATGGTGTCAATAACACGGAGCGAGAACGGTTGTAGTAGCTGATTACACTCACTCGCCGTCGATGTTCAATAAGTTCCTCGCGGTAGATCTCGTTTAGTCTGGTAATGCGGATATAATCCCGCTCTGTATCCACGAGCCTATTCCTCAGCTGCTCGTTCTCTCTGCGCATGGCGTCCAGCATCAGCTCCGGGCTTGGGTCCGCTGGGGTCTTGTATCCCAAGAATGTGTGCATCCCCAGCCGGGTGTCGACAGGCGAGCCGCTGCCGCTGCCATGGCCGTTCAGTTGAGCTTGCTGCTGCTGCGCCAATCGCAGTGCAGATATCTCTCGCGACAGCCGATTCACATGGTTTTCGGATTCAGCCTCAAGTGTATTCTCGAGTGAAATTTTCTCCTCACGGAGCTACGGAATTTAGATTCGTGAGTGACCACTCCTGCCGAGCCACGGTGACATATACGCACTCGCTCGAGTTTGCGGTAGAGTAAATTAATAATGCGTTCTTCCTCTGCCTCGTATTGGTTTATGAGGTCCTCCCTACTGCTGGAACTGGTCGAGGGGTAGCGATGGATAGGGGGAGAAACGGACATGGTTGACTCGAGGTTGAAGCGCCTTAGCGCCACCCCCGCATGGATTTTGTATGCGCGGGTGTCGTTCGACCGCAACAACAGCGAACAGCCTAGCTTTCTTCCAAACTCGACTTGGTTGGTGTTCTCGACCTGTGGTCATCATTGCGCTGAATACTGTGCCCCCCTATCTGCTTTACTTCTATCTACCGCATTCGGTTCTGGGGAGTCGGTGGGAGGAAATACAGCCGTCTGACACAGATGGATTTTCGGCTTCGATGATGGTCAGAAATTGAAGATTCATCCAGGGGCCAGGTGTCCATCTATTCTGACGGTTGGCCCAGATACACGTAGAGAGGTGCCACCACTCCTGGTCGTCACAAATCCTGACTATTCTGACACTATCCCCCGTGGTCTTTCGCAGTCTATATTCGAATCCTGTGCGACACCGCATTGCGAGAATACGGATTTGAAATCGAAGGTTCGTCAGCATGTCAGTTCTATCTCGTGTTGATATTCTACATTGTTGGTATGGTTTCACTCGCGATGTCGCTGGTATGATGCTCAACTCCGTTCCTGGTATCCGCCATCCTGTGAGGATGGAACTCATTTTCTGCATGATGCAACGGGCACTGTATGTAGGGATCGCCTGGACGGGTGGAACTGGCGATGGGTGGTGCGGTTCATCATTTCTGAGGTTTCAGATCTTGCAGAAGACCTCACCTGTCATACCATTATTGACAAGATCTTTATGGGATTATGCGCATGATTGTGCTGCGTGCTTCATCGAGCTTATTTGATGAAGTAAATAATCATGATAACTCGAGCTCATTTGCTGTCAATTTGCTACTGTCTCACTATTCTCGGATTGACGCATCGATCTCAAAAATGTAAAAGAAATAAAATGAGGGCTCTATTTTGATCGCTATACTCGCCTCCTAATTTTCCGCTACAAAAAAGTTGGGTGTATGGTATACATGATATGGTATGGTACGGGAAGGGCGTTTTGAAGTGAAATTGACATACATCTTGCGCTAGGGATGCCGCAGGTGAATCGAAAGGAAAGGCAGAGCATCATACGGTATAATTAAGAGTTGTTCCTTAGCAGGAACGGCAGTCTTGTGGTTCACGAGAAAGGTATAACTTGGGGTCTCGCCTGCACGCGCTGGCCGGCAGGGAACATCAATGTCAGCATTCCCTTATCCATCTTCATGTTTATATCTTCGCGCTAATAGAACAAGGCATCAATTCGGTCAGGCGAACAGCAGAACGAAACTCGAACCTCTATATGCTGAGGGACGCTAATGCATCGCCAGTAGAGTCCGACGATGTGTTCGCGCCCGACAACTTCACCCGACTCTTGACGCAAGTAGGGGCGCATGATTCCCACAACGACAATTACTTTGGTCTTGTTCACCGGACATGTCGTAAGTATCGGAGTCACATCGGCTTTCTCGACACCTGGAAGCTGCAGGGCGTACACTAGGGTATTGTCCGTCTTAAGCTGTACGTCGGTGCGAATTTTGTACCAGCGTCTCCAGTCAATTGTCGTCGTATCAGGGCTTCAAGGAAGTAGGGGGGGAGGGCGATCACAAGGTGAGCCAGGGGTGATGATATGAGGGGACAGAAACGCACCTAACGTTCTCCCCACCCCGAAGTACGTTTTGCACTAGCATTCTCGCTCTCCACATATTCATAAGTGGGCACATCACTGTGGACCCGGACGAGGATGTAGTCCCGGACGCTGCTATTATTTCATTGGCACTCAGGCTGAGCTGTGTGCCTGCATGTGCATTTGTAGGTGTAGGCTCATTCTGGACGGGGCGCAGCCTCCCAACGGGAGACTGTTGACCCGAGCCAGTGATGGTCGCTGACTGCGGACGGGCATATGGGTGCGTCTGCACTCGACCGCGACTGTTGCGGACAGGCATGGTGCTAGGCCCTGGGCCGCACGTAGAGGGTGTGCTGGGACTCACGCTAGGGCGTGACGGCGCTCTGCTCGATCCTCGCCGCCCGCCCGAACCATCGCTGGTCGTAGCTGGCTGTTGATATCTGAAATGATCCACTGTCGTGTTGTCAAAGCGATATTGCATGGGCGATGGCCGCTCTTCGAGAGGAATTGTCTGCGGTATCTGGTGCATACGTTGCTGTATATGTGGGTGACTTGGTCCCTGATAACCGCTTGCTATCGACGTGTCTTGGACTTGAAACGGCTGTTCTGTCGCGTCTTGCTGTTGATCCCACGTACTAAGGGGAGTGGTCGGGTTGGACATGTTTTCATAAGAGAAAGGATACATTCTTTACTCTATGAGACGGTGGATCAGGAGAAAGAGGCTGGGCGGGGGCGCGGCCTGCTATATATGCTTTCTTGACTCGTACGGACGGCGCCGGGCGGCGATATCCATAGAAGGAAACAAAGGCGGCGCGCCCTTCCGTTGCAGGTAATTTCGCGATTGCCGCCACAGACAAGGCAGTGCGGCAATACGGGACACTCTTTCGCACGTGTTACATAAACTCGTATTGTTCTCGCTGACGCCCAGTCTCGCTGCCATTGTGCAGATAACATAGCTCACCTTCAAGTGCCTTCTCAGTGGCCGGCCGTCTGATGAACGACTGGTAAATGAGACGTATGCACTGGTTTCGAGACGGAGCGAAGCACAAACAGGTCGATTTCCCAGAAATGAGTAACTCGCACGACGTCTGTGCCTACGGAGTCATTGATGACTGAGATGACTTTCGTGGCCGACTGGCAGTGCACCGAGTCATACCACGAGAACGGAATGCGACCAACTCGATAATGATTAAGCACTGTCATCCGAATCCTCCATCTCGCTATGCACCTTCATCAGCTTCGCCTCAGGGGCGTTTGTAGCTGAGCCACAGTCCCTGTCCTTCATGGGGCGTTTCACACGTGCAAACATTCCCACCTCCGGATCGCGAATGAAGTTGACAATCACCATGGGCCATGACGGGTGCGACGGAATCGTGTCGTAGAATTCAGGTGCGAGCGCGCGGAGAGCGGGGAGCCGGGTCCACGGTACGGAAGGGAAATCGTGGTGCTCGTTGTGATATCCAACCTAGGACGTGTGAATCTTCGAGTGCCGGAAAGTGGCAATGAAAATGCTCACGTTGTACGCGAGCACGTTGAGCGGCCCATAGTACGAGTATGTCTCCTGGTTGAGACCATCCCATACGTAGTGTTCGGCAATGAAATGTCCCGCACACGGGTGCAGGCTACCGGCGAAGAAGCTTGACGCAATCAGATAGATGAGCGAACGCGCACCGCATGTTTTCACAAGAATGTAATCAAAAATCAGTTGCGCGACCAGATTCACCAAGTGCCATTGCGTCAGCTGTTGCGTGCGCACGAAACCAGGGCGCAGCGCGTAAAATAAAATCTGGAACGTACTTTGTTCAACGTGTCCCGTTAGCGAAAGGCAGAACAAGGTAGAGGATGCGACTAGACGTACGCAAAGAAGACCTTCCCAAGAACATTGTTCAGACAAATTAGTTCGAGACGCGTCGGCAGGTCGGTGTCTATACCGTCTTCGCCCAGGTATTTATGGTGTTCTAAGTGGTATCGCTAGTTGTGATATCAGCGAAGAATGTGGACTTTGATATCAAGCAGTCAGTACCTTGAATGCGGCAGAATAGGGGATGCCAATAGGAAAATTTGCAAACACAGCCAGTGCCTTATTGGCTTTGATTCCCTTGAATGCTAGGTTATGTGTAATCTCGTGGATAGCGAGGAACAAATTGTGGTTTGCAGTTGCGCCGATGAAATACACGCAGAAGAGAAAGAGAGGCGTCAATGGTTTGGTATTCCGCAGCAGATAGGCGACAAGCAACTGGGTGACAACTACGCCGAAGACAACGTATTTCGTCAGAGGCTCGTAGCCCATGAGTTTCTTGACCTAAGGATGATTTATTCAGCTCTGGCACAAGTTCAGACGAAGAAACGAAGGAACTTGTACATAAGATTCTTACTAAACTCGGAAGATTATGCGCACCTCAGGATGAGCCTTCATGATCGCCATGCGTCTACTGCGGTGTGGCTCTTCGGTCATGATCCAAAGGAAGTCAGACGGGTCCTGGGGAGGTGAGATATGTGTCTTTCCATCGTCACTGGGTGTAGGTGACACGACAGTAGTCCTGCGAGGTGTCCTGCCCTCTGTGAGCGACTCAGCACCGCCAAAAAGGCTGAAGTCTAACTATGGTTGGCGAGCACATTTATACCACAAAGTATCCCAAACTCACCGACTCTTGCGACAGGATCAACAGCCTTCTTCGCAGACATTAAACCAACCCTTTCACCCTCAAGCCCAGGTGTCCTCAAAATTGTCGATACATCGCACTCCGCACGATCGCTATACGGCTTCGTTTCTATTTGCACCTATTTTCTAAAGCCTTTTGATCTTAACATAGCCAAACAAACATCTCTTGATCGGCTGAGGCTATCCAAGATCCTCGACGTCCGGCGGTGGCTGTGACTAGCTGTTGCCTCTATTGGTACACTTATATCCTCAGACACTCGGTTATAAAATGGCTACTCCACGTCGCGAAGATATTGGTCATGGTTCCATTTTTGCCCGAAAATCAGCTAGTGTCAATGTAAGTGAACCTAGGTCAGGACACGAGGGGCGCGGAAGCCTGATCACCAAAACTGCGTTGACTTCTCGCCGCGGCGGACCAGTTGGAGGTTTTTCTGATCCGCGCCGTCCAGCGGATCGCCCTTTTGTCTCAAAGGTTCCCAGTCGACTTGCGAAGGAGGTACAGCGCTCTGCAGGTGCCGAGCATAATCCTGACCCACGGGAGGTCTCTCGGAAGCAGGTGGCTCCCGGTGCAGGCCGAAATCCTCCGCCTAATGCCGGCTTTGGTGCCTTACAGCGTCCTCGTACCGGCCTCGCTGCTAAATCTCAACCGGTTCGTCTGTTTTTATCCGAATTTCCTGAGGAGTTCGTCGTTCAAAATTCTCGGCAACGGGTCGAGCAAGACACCTTTGAGGGACAACCGGCACGCCGTATAATGCCAAGTAAGACCACGATCTCGCAATCGGCACGCAGATGGCATAGGTCTTTTCTTGTGCCACGGGGTGATGGGGTGCCCCAGCCTGACAGAAGCGGTTTCATTTTAGGGCCGAATTTTGAACTACGCCCTTCTGACGATGCAGGGGAAGAAGTGGAGGTTCAAGACAGGAATATGTGAGTGTCACGACAACGTATTATATTCAACGATGTTGAGCGAATTCAGACCGGAACAAGCCGCTAAAACAGTACACCGACGACAAGCCACGCCTAATGAACATCCCGCTGAAGGTTTAAGGATGCAGATGGCTACGAAACAGAGAACCAATCCTGGCCTTCGGTCACGCGCTGTCAGGGAATCTTCAGAGTTGGAGACTGACGACGATGAGACTGAACAACTGACGAGTGGCATGTATGATCTAACCTTCCGTGCGGAGCGATTGAGGAGCTATGGCCGGATACCCTTCCTTATACGCAATTTGCGCAAGGCGTTCCAACGGGAATGCGAGTTGGCTGGTGTACCGGCGGAGCCCCCCGAGCCGCCTGAAGGACCCGTCTCTGTGATCTATCGATATGCTGCTCTCAACTCCGACGACGATACTGCTTCTGACTCTGAAGGGAGCGACTCAAGTGAGCGCGAATATAAACAACGTGAAGGCATTATGTACGAGTGGAAGTGCCCGTTGTGCCGGTATCACGGTAATTTCGCGCGTCGAGAGGTGCTCGAATTTCATATGAAACGTGATCATAGTGAATGCACGATTACGTGGGAGAAAAGGCAATCTCTACGGGTCGTACGTAGCTGGTGTTTCTTGTTGTAGCCGTCGTTGATGCAATGTCTTTAGGAGCGATGGCAGCTCACCGTTGTTGTTCCTGAAAAAATAACGGATAGTAGTGAATCAGCGACGGCAACCGATGACGAAGATGCAGACAAAGACGGGGACGACGGTATAGTTGGGTTGTTAGAGCCGTTCAACATACCTAGGTGAGTTTCAGCGATGTCCATGGCACAGTTGTAATAATGACAACAGGACAAGCGAAGATAAACTTACTATATTAGAGACCCAATCGTCAAGGGACTCTGAAGTTGCACAACAGCAAGATTCTGTGCTCGACGAAGAACCCGAAATTATTATCCTTGATCCTCCCCCTGCCAATACCTCTTCATCAGATCTTATACCAAAGAAATTCCGTGCATATTCCCCAACTCCTTCCGCGACCACACATAGCTATTCACACACGCGCTCATCTACAACACAAACGCAGAGACAGACTACGTCGTCAAGCCTGAGAGGATCGCTTCCGGGACGTTACCCTACGCCACCGCCCCAGTCAAATTCACTTGGTCCAGCTGCGCAATATCCCTTCCTTCCAGAACCAATCGGAGACGAAGATATGCAACATATGCCACATTCATGCCGCATTGGTGGACCAAAGATTTATGACCTATTGAATACACTACCACTGGAGCCGTTCGGGGTGCTATCGTGGGCCATTGTAGACAGAGAAGAAGAGCTTTTCGAAACAGATGAGATACCAGATGGGCAAAAAGTAGTGCTGGCACTTTGGAATCGTTGGATTATGCTAAATCGGTAGGCATCCCTCGCGTCTTGTCTCCTTGATTCCTGACTTGATCATCAAACTGCAGGGGTAAATTTATCTTGGATGATTACTGCAAAGGGGTTATTGAATTTGTAGACCAATACTGGCTCATGATTCATCGTGCAGCAGGCTGGGCGGCACTACGAACATTCCTTGTGGTACGGACTTCAGAGTTGTGAGCGGTATACAGCTAAAATTATCTCATTGGCTCAGGTGTTGGCCACAAACAAGTATCTAAAGCCAGCGGAAGTTGTGAAGGTGCTCAAGCACTATGAATCACACACCGGAATGGAGTTCTGGTATAAAGATGACAAAGAGGGATCTGTAATGCAGTAGCCAATTGATATGTACATATAGCTCTCATATCTCTCGAACCGGGTCTCCTACCTTATGAGAGAAACATTTGTCGAATTCGGTAGCCTTACAGTGAAGTTCTGTTCGCCCACTCATCAGAGGTGTGCACTCATCCTCATCTCAATTACACCTTTTTACGACCTGCAGCCATACTACATCAGTAGGAAATTAGAGTAGCAAACAGATCAAGCAAAATACGGAAAGAAAAAGGCCAGTCATAACAAATGATATAGGCGATTGACAGAAACAACAACTAGACGATAGCAAAAATAAGATGACAGCGAAACAAACATTTTGAGAGCATAATAACCCGAGTATCCATGAGATAAAGAGTCAACCGCAAATTGTAGTCAGAGACTGTGTACTCACCATTCAACGGGATATCCAATGGACTGTGTGTCGGTTAGGTATATCCGCGAATGTCACATCCAACTTCAGTAGATTTTCGCGCACCGCGTCGGTTTTAGGAACCTGCGTCCGAGCCTGAACAGGAGCTCGACGGCATACATGGACGTGCTCTGGCTCTCGACTTGAGTCGAAGCCTTCAGAAGCTTGGGAAGCCATCGATTTGTCCACGAGCCATAATTACTAGAGATCATGAGATTGCGAAAACAGTCCGCTGGTCCTGCTGACTTCACGCACGACGAGACTCTGATAAGCATATCTAGGCGTTTGCAATCGCTGGTTTTGGACAATATCACCGTGTGGAATATATGTGTTCGCGTAGTTCGAACCCATGCGAGACGTGAGGCTGCACGACTTGAGGCCTTCAGGGTGCGTGTGTCGTCCCAGAGATAATCGAGGTTCTACTCGTACACCTCCAGAGGAAATACCCTTGAGCCTAGCCTACGCGGGTCGAGCTTCTCATTTCGATGAGACCGGAGACCAAAAGATCGTTCCAAAAGAAACGAGAGTGTTTCGGACACCCATCGTTCGGCCAGCGGCGCCATACTGTTCGCCTTGTCCAGACTCGGCCCTCAGATCCTACTTAGTAGCAATGTTCGTGAATCCCTAGTAGATGTATACGTAGAAAAGTCTGAGCGAGCTGTCATTACTTACTAAGTTTCGACAAGTAATGTCGTGGGCATGAATACAACACAGCTAGCAGCCTGGCCATTGGCAAGCTTACCTTGAGGCTTTCGGAAGTCGTGTCGTAACTTATAGTAATCCACAAGTTCCAAGCTCTCGGCCCCACTGCCGCAGTTACTTGAACCGTGGGCAATTGACGAAGTTTGGCGGTCGAACATGCGTCGGAAACTGGCCGCGAGAGATCGCATTTTCCTGCAAAGTTCGAAGAGCAATCACTCGGCAGGATTTTACATGCAAGGAACATGGAAAGCGGATCAATCAGAGGCTAGCGATATGCTATGTTCGATGCCCGAATGTTTGTAATACCTAATGCTCGAGCCCAGAAAATCGAGTGGAAATGCGATCTCTTTTGGTGCATGTTCGGCATCTGCTCGACGGCCGGACACCGCGTTTTGCCCACGGTATTTTCAATTTCCGGCCGACGAGCGCGATCACATGATGCCACGCGTTAACGAAGAGTACGGTGGGAACTTGGATTCGCGCGCTGCCAACGTCAACTTTGCGTTGGTACTTGGACCGCGGGCGCGTCTGGGGCCCCAGTGTTCTCGGAACCTTCTATTTTTTCACAGATTAATATATATATATATATTCGCACAATAGTTATGGATTGTTAATTTGTGAATCCACGAGCATCTGGTCCTCCGCTAATATTGTGCTCCGAAACCGGGTGGACCGGACTCTTGATCTTGCTGAATGTCTTTGAGCACTCCCTGCAGCACTGGCAATCCATGTCGTCTAGACACCTGAGCATCAAACACCGGTTCAACTCCAACTATGACACGAGAGCGCATAACCCTCGCACGATCATGGTGCTCCATTCAGTCCATGTATATCCCTCCGTTCACGTTCAATGATTGTCCTGTCACCGTAGAGTCGGAACTCAGATGCCCGAACTACACCATATGAACACATACCTGTGATGAAGTAGGCTTCCGGCTTGACAAGGTACGAGACGATGCTACCTACGACATCCGGTTCTGCAGCTCCTTCGAGTGGTTGTGCGCCTATTGCCTTTGCATCCAAAACATATATCATCGCACGGTGACCACATGAATTTACAAGCAGAATGTTATGTTGAACCCCAATCAGGTAAAAGGTGGGATTCAACACGTACCCATTCAGCTTTGCCACCACCACCCAAGGTTCTCCTCGCTGTGAGCGATCAGTCAATGTGCAGAGCCTGTCATTGAGAAACACACCCATCGGCGTGTCAATTACTCCAGGAGCATAGGCGTTGACGGTGATCTTGTGTTCTAAGAGTTCCATTGCTGTAAGTGACAACTTGATCAGGGATATGAAAGGATACGATAATATCGCAGCTTACGAACCCAATGACTGTGTTAAACCTCTGATAGCGAACTTCGTGGTGCAGTAGACACTCGCATAGGCCTCTCCTATGGAATTTATCTAGATTGAACTGCTTTTAGCATGAATTAGTTATATACCTTTCTTCCCTGTGTAAGAGGAAGCTCCTGCGGAAGATAGGCCACGTAAAAATTAAATTGAAGTCAGGGTTGGATGGGCACTCACCAATGATCCGACCCCCATGCCCCTGTTTAATCATCTGCGCAGCAGCATACTTGTAGCACAGCATGGTTCCGCGTAGATTGACCGCAACGACGCGGTCCCATTGCTCGACATCCACTGGAAGGAGCATGCTAAGCCATATACAATACTTCTCACCCACGTGCCTTACACTCATGAAGCAACCCTAACGCACAAATGCCAGCATTTGCTACCATCTGTGGACAGTGATTATAACGTTACTGTCCTTGCATCGATCCGGAGAATCTACGCACGATATCAAGTTTGCCAAGTTGCTGTACTGTCGTGGTCACAATTGCTTTCACACCCTCCTCGTCGGATACATCAGCAAGAATCGGGATGGATTTCCTCCCCTTTGCCTGCAACTCCGCCACAAGCTGTATCAATATATCGGCGTTGCTTTGAAGGTCATTCACAGCAACGTCTATTCCATCGTCGGCGAGTCGTAATGCAACAGCTCGTCCGATACCCTGAGCGGCACCAGTGACAATCGCGACACGACGTTCTGTAGACATGAAGCTGAGGCTGAAATTGGAAGCTCAATGTGACAGGGAGGGGGCTGCAGGAAAACAGAGATACAGAGTCAAGATAGTATAGACCAAACCAAGCTACTCACGAGATTAAGTCAAATGCAAACCGGGCGATTCTCGGTACTTGTAAGATAGACCCTTCCATATTTAGGGACTTCGTTTTCTGATCTCTCGATGAGGAACTGAACATTAGAGCGTCAGGAATGTCCCAAGATGTGTGGGTGTCCGGTGTGTCCACTAAGCAGAATAAATGCTCCACAATATGATGCAGATGTCTTAGCGAAGCCTGCTGTATGATATATCGGTATGTACACGCCGAAGTTCCGGGAGAGTAGGCCCTTTTATTGGCGCTTTAAAAGAATAGGCTGCGGGGTTGAATGGCTTCCTACACCCTCCTGATTTAATCCATTTGTATGCCTCCATCTACGTTGATGGACTGCCCTGTATATAGATTGAGAAATTGATCGAACGCGCTGCTCCAAATCAGCATACCTGTAATGAAATATGTCTCCGGCTTGACAAGATACAACACGATGCTTGCTATGACATCCGGGTCCCCAGCAGTGAGCATTGGCAAGCTTGCTACCTAGCATAGGGCGCACAGCAGGTTAATAGACAAAAAAGATTCAGAGCGCGACACGCACTCCCTCGAGTTGGCCATTCACAATCTTGTCCCCCAAGAGTATGCGAGCTATAAGGATTTCAGTTTGCTTATGCTATTGCAACACCTACATGAGAGGCACTTACCCAAGGGAGTATCAATAAATCCAGGACAATACGCATTTACCGTGATCTTGTGCTCCGCGAGCTCGAGTGCTGTATACAACCACGTTATATTAAGCAAGTCATACAGCGGAATCATACAGACCTAATGATTGCGTTAAGCCTCTAATAGCAAACTTTGTGGCACAATATGCAGACATTTCGCTCCCACCTGTCATAAATTCTCGAGTTTAGACAACACTCGAGTATTCGTGACAAGGTCTCAATTGCTGTATTACCTCTCTTTCCCAGAATAGAGGATGCGCCTGCGTTCCCAGTAAAGTCGATTATAATGGCATCCAAAACTGCCAAATCCTAGTTCCTACCAATTATCCGGCCACCACGGCCTTGCTTGATCATTTGTTCTGCTGCATACTTGTAGCACAACATCATGCCACGTAAGTTGACCGAAATAATGCGGTCCCATTGCGCCACGTCCACTGGAAAGAAACGTTAGACATCCTTCTAGCCCTCGCAGTGTGCTTACTCTTAATGAGTGAAGCAAACATCGCCGTTGCCGCATTTGCAACCATCTATTCCGCGAATATTATGCTGATCGAGACGAAAAGCATAACGAGTTCACGTACAATATCTAGTCCTCCTAGTTCTTCTACCGTCCTCGATATCATACCCTTAACGCTATGCTCGTCGGAAACATCACCAGCGATCGATGCAGACCGTCTTCCCAATAATTGAATTTCTTCCACGAGGTCTGCAAGAGCGTCTGCGCTGCTGGGTAGGTCGTTCACAGCGACGTCTATACCATCTTTGGCCAGCCCCAACGCGATAGCTCGGCCGATCCCTCGCGCTGCACCAGTGACAATTGCAACGCGGCTGTTGTTTGACATACTTAAAGGTGAGGGTAGCACGCCAATATCGATGTCCAACTTTCGAGAAATATGGAAACGTTGGCGCTATGACTGCTGACTCAAGATCCCAGAGAGTCGGGTAATATTATCATGTTTTGGGAAACAGATCGTCTACCAGGGTAGTCATGGATGCGAATAGGATCAAGCAGTCGGATTGAGGCCGACCGACCGAACAGCCTTTAGAGGTCAGGTGGTTTTTCGAGAGATATCAGATATAGTGATTGCGCTTGGAATTGAAGCTGACGCATAGTGTAAGTGGGGACTGTTCGACTGATTCACGAGGTAGACACCCACCAGGAGCAAGGGTCTTCCATCAAATATGCTCAAAAGGTAGCACCACGAGACGAGCCTTCGCTAAACACCAATGTAAATATGTTCAAAAGACAACACTACAAGATGAGCCTTCACTAAACGCCATGCACAGCCTAGCTATATACTATCACACGTGAGTATCAAAGCATGAACTCAAGCGTCATTTATGTATTATTTTACTACTCACCTATATGTGCAAATTGATTACTGGTTTTTTCGGTTGAAAATACGCACACATGCACGGCGATGGTACTCGCCTCCATTTAAACGACGATTGCAGATCTAGGCCACCACACTCAAACCAGAATGCCTTATGGATCGCCTTGAGCATCCTGGGGCCTTTCTGCTGGTCAACATCATGTTCGTCCCTTATCTCCGACACTGACACTGGGGTGATTCGAGCGGCTCATTTTCAGTTGATCTATTAACTCGCCTTCCATTCCGACATGACAAAGGCAGTGCGGATATGTAGTCTCGTGTTCACAGTGTAGAAATGGTGAACGCACTTCGCGGGAACTTGGATGTGCGCGATCACTTACTGGGTGAGCTCTGGTAAACCAGAATCTGGATGAGTAGAGCAACAATCACATGTTGCCAGTGGCTTACTGGCTCCTTGGCTGTGGAGGTCAGAACGGAGGAGACAACTTCTCAAGATTCTATGATGAAAGAAGTCAATTAGTGGCTGCGAGAGCACGGTATACGCCCATAAAACTCACTATCTAGATCATACAACTCCGAAAAACCAATGAGCCCGTGACACTGCCTTAATTGCACTTTTACACGACGTGCTGAGCCGTAATACCCTCGAGTGTCTAGTGGGATGGCCCGTATGTGGCCGAACAGCAAATGATAAACCATCACCACATCCGCTGAAACTGTAGTAGCCGAAAAGTGGGGGAAATGGCAGGGAAGAATAGCAGAACATGTGCACTTACGTAAAGGGCTCCGACGGACCAGGTAGGAAGGCTCCAAACGATCATGGCTCTCAGGCTCTGAGAAACCGTGTTTAGAGTACACGTGCCAGTATGTGGGCAGAATGATTGCGCATGCATTGCATAAGAAATTATACACCGCCGGTGAAGAATGTGCGAGGTTCTTCTCTTATAAGCAGACTCGAGGAATGCCAAATCTGTAGGGTAAATGTAAATGGCTGGCAAGCACTAATCGAGTCACTAAATCGACTGTTATTGAGACGAACTCGGATCCGGAGGCGACATCTGGTGGAAACCCAACCTTAGGGTTTTGTACGTTGTCTTGTTAAGTCAAACGATTCTCAGTCTCTCAAATTCAACAAATGTCGGCTACCTCTCGAAGGTTTCTTTTAATCACAAGCATAAAAACATCAAATACAGCGCGTCCAGTAATACCCATTTCCACGGTTCCGATTCACAAAGCGGGTCGATCAGTTCTCGCGGCTTCAGACTCCTTATCGAGCTTCAGACGGTTGATTTGATTCCGATGAGCGACCTCTACCAAAAATACCTTATTACGTCCAGTGATCGCACGTATAACAAATATTGAACACTTACCGTATCCGAATCCGTGCTCAGTCCCGCTGACAAGGTTTCATCCTTTACTACCTTTCCTAAATGAATGTCTATGGTCCGGGGCACGCGTCCCGCACGGAATTCAAGTTGGCTGTTGGCAGCGTTGGTAGCGTGTGGCGTCGAAAGACCATCCTGGGCATAATTAGGCGCATTGTGATAGTTGCGAACAAACCGTCGCGCGTTGAGCCTGGCTCACAACAAGCATGTGAGCTTCCAAAGATTGTTAACATGATCCAAACTCACATAGCCATGAACGAGTTCACGTGCACTACAAAGTCAATTTTATGTATGAGCTCACACACATACTGAGAATAAAACGGCGTACTTTTCACAAGTGAATATACAAAAGCCACAAAGACTAACTTCTCAGGCCACGCAGCTCTCTAAACCATTGTCAGGATCTGGTGCGCAACAGCCCAATTTGACTCTATCCACCTACCGTTATGATAACGAAAATAGACAATATACTATGGAGCTTGTTAGCACTCCTGCAAATCTATAGAATTTAAATTATCATACCTTGTAATGACGCCAGTGTTCAGCGTGAATAACATGAGCAACATGATTGTGGAATCCGTCCTATAGCCAATGAGTTGAGAGTTAGAAAAGAAGCCATCGACGTATATCACCTCTCAAAGCCTGTGCGTGAACGAGCCAGGAGATAACACATGGAGATTGCAATGCTGACATCCACAGCAGCCCATGCGGCCGCAGGTAAATAGATCATCCACTATGGCGATAACCTGTCAGTTTTCTATTCCCTTGGTCGATAGAAATTTGGCATACCTGTATGGCCACAATTCCGGCAACAGTAGAGGGCCGAACACTACATTGGAGCGTGTAAGATGATGCTATTTTTGAGACCCTGCTGCTCACATTTCGTAGCAAATTGCTATATAAATTATTAATTGGGGAGTCAAAAGTATTGGCAAGAAAGCACTCACACAGACTGCCCGCTAGAACAATCAGCTGTATGAGATAATGCGGTAGTGCATGATCCGTGAGACTTACCGTATCCTGCGAGCAGAAGGAAACTCTGTGGCATTGAGTGCAACATGAGTACAAGCGCACACACCCCAAACCTAAGATTGTGTCTTACAACGATAACAGGCAAAACGCGACGAAATGGTGAATTCTTGTGCACAACGGCATCCACTGGAATAAAAAGGAACAGGGCTTCAACAGAAATGCTTCCAAGTCTGAAGCATCTACAACCTACATTTCCAAATGCGAATCGCATATAGACTGTTCAAACGTCAATTTGAGTCACCACATACAAGCTCGAAACTGCTTACGTCTGTACCGAGGATACACATATGGCCTAATTACAATCATTTCAATACAATAAGAAAAGGAAGTGGGTGGCGCAATCGACATACACCGAAAATGTCTTGCACCTGTACTCCTAAGATGTCACATCCAAATATAAGCGAGAATGTATTTTTACCATACCTTGAAACTCCAGATCGCTTCCTGGAGAGCGGCCGGGTCATCGAAATTGAGTACCATATAATAGTACATAGCATGAAAGATGAGAACAACATGGAATGCGTCCAAAATCCTGTAGAGATAATTCAGCACCGAAAACATCCGATGCGTATGACTATATCGACCATAAATAGCAAACCACAAGCTTGGTCCAGATTGAGTCGTAAGGGTAATTTCGGTAGTAAATAAATGTCTGAAGGATAGTGATGCCAAATAGGCTTCAAGGAGTATCAGTACAATATTGAATACAAGCACGTACGGGAAGAAACACGAGCTTACATTGATGCAATGAATGTTCCGATAAACAAGACACCCATCGTGCCGGATAGGTCCATGATGTAGGTGTCAGACAGAGGTCAAGGGTACGGCCAGAGTGTAAGTAATTCTTCGCAGTAACAACCAGAACTTGTAAAAGACCGGCGCCGTATTTAAGCCTGGTGAGAAGGGGCCACTAAATAGATCTGGGTCCCCAACGCTGAGATTTATGAAGTCTCTTCATTTAAGTTTGTGGCTACCCTTCGTTTGAATCACTTGATCACGTCAAGATGATGTATCCTCATGGTAGGAGCTGATCATCTATCACAACTGAGCTGCAGACGCAGGTAGAAGTTCTTGATTGATGCGAGAAGCGGTAGGCATGAGTGGCCTTGGGAATAGAGTGGGCGTATGGAACCCAATGACAGTAATCCCAAAATCGATGTCACGGTGCCGCCCCTGAGAAAATACAATAGAGTATGGGTGGCATCGGCTGGTGCCGCCTGCGGCCTGGGTGTCGTCCCGCGGCGTGAGTTGTCTTCCTCCTCGAGTTGGTGGTTGTGCTCTTGGCAATATGACTGGACTCGGACGGTGTACTCATCCCTCTCAAAAGGAGCTGACTACAACAATGTCAAGGCATATGCCAAACAACGAAATTGCCCGTGCTACAGGTATCAATGAGCGGGCATAAACTGTTCATAAAATCGTCATTATTTTCGTCGCTGCTATCCTCAATGAGCGCGACTCACCCGACACTGAGCGATCCGCCACCTACAGCATCAAGCTGCCATCAGCTGAGGGGCCACCATGCTCCATTGTATTTTCTCCGAGGCGGCACATCGATCTTGAGATTGCTGGAAACAATTTTAGTTGCACGAGCGCATATGTACCGTATCAGCAGCGCGTCTTCCACTGTCCGACAGATTCCGGTCATGCCGAGGTGCCGACGCGCTTGGGGTCACTAACGCTACCGTCGTAAATGTAATACGCTGAGGTCTTGAGTCTGCGCTAGCTCGCCTCGGGGTACCAAAACTTCGTAACATCATTCCCAACTCTTGTTGAGGGCTGTTCAACAACGAACTGGGATGTTGAGGCGCTGCGGTCGCCTGAACTTACAGCTTCTATTTAACATGCCATTTATTTGCCGCTGGCACGTCTTTTCGAAAGCACATAGTATCATTTCTGGCATTTCGAAGCATCAATACAGCCTCTGGGTCTCTGAAAATGTCCGGGCATTGGGAATGGCCAAAGTTGGAGACCCCGGTGCGACGGGGGACAAGCTCATAGGCGCTGGGCACGGAGTTACGATGATGTGGCGCCGTCAAACCTACTAGCAGAGCCTAGTAAATCATGATGGTGATGATGCGAGTAGAATATTTGATATCCTCGATGCCATACCCATTTGGATACACGATGGCTGATGCTAGTTGCCCATTTTCCTAATATCCCCGATCATGACCCAACACTGAGGGAGACAGTTGATGGCCTACTAGGGGTGGGTGTAATTAGCGCAACCTGAGCGGAATTCAGAATGCCAGTCCAGTCGAAGTCCACAGAACAGCCCTCTTTTCCGCAAAATACACCCCGATTAACTCCGAGAAAAGTTTAGTCCATCAATGTCCCTCCATTCACGTTAATGGCTTGCCCTAACATGCCAGTCAGCGAAATAAATCCTCAGCCATGGATAGCAGGCCCACCCGTAACGAAATATGTCTCTGGTTTGACTAGATACGACACGATACTCGCTATAACAGTTGGTTCTGCAAAAACTGATGGATTCATCTCCTTGGAAAAGCGAATGCTCTGAGTCAGAAGACGACCTCGAAAGCTCAGTCTACGTTACGTACTCCTCTTTGCCGGGTATTCAAAAACCACTCGTCGCCCAAGAAGCCCCGTGCTATGATACAGCATCAATGGCGTGCCCAGTGGTATTTTGCAACCATGAACCATGAAAGGAGCATACACATGGGCGTATCAACGGTTCCCGGAGCATACGCATTCACTGTGATCTTGTGTTCAGCGAGTTCCAGCGCTGTGTCGAAATGCATTAGGGTGAGAACGAGCAAAGTCATGATACAAGTGAGATCACCAAGTGACTGCGTGAGCCCTCTTACTGCGAACTTTGTCGCGCAGTACGCAGACGCAGACGCTTGTCCTGCGCTCGATCATCAACATCATAGCTCGCCTATTTATATATGTGTTTGGTCTCACCCTGTTTTCCCAGTTGCGAGGAGGCGCCTACGATTTGAATCTGAACAGTTTGCTGCCGTTCAGGCACGACTTTGTGGTACTACCACGTACCGATGATTCGCCCTCCGCGTCCCTGCTTGATCATTTGTTCTGCTGCATGTTTGTAACACAACATAACACCACGCAGGTTGACCGCAACGACGCGATCCCACTCTTTCACCGGTACTAGGAGACTATCAATCAGATATACGCTCAGCCGAGGATACGCACGTTCTGTGAGCGGCACTAGCAATCCACCGATACCAGCGTTTGCTACCATCTGTACATCGCCTGTCGAACAAACAGTTTCGGGGTATTCAGAGTTGAAACCGCACGCACGACATCCAATCCTCCTAGTTCTTGTACCACCTTGGCTATCATTCCCTCGACATTAGCCTCCTCCGTTATATCTGCAACAATCGGAATGGCTCGTCGTCTTTTCATCTGCAGCTCTCCCACAAGCGACGCGAGAGCATCCGAATTGCTTGCAAGATCGTTCACAGCGACGTCAAATCCATCATCTGCAAGTCGTAATGCAATCGTCCTGCCGATTCCCTGCCCCGCACCAGTGACCACGGCAATGCGGTACTCTTCGGACATGGGAACGTAATAGCTGAAGCATGCGGATCACCATCTGTCAGTCAGGAGGGCATATATACAAAGCAGAAGTCTCGGCTCTAGACCTGAGGATTTGAGCTTCGTGAAGAACGGGCGCTGTAGAAGTACTCAGAGTTATCCAATTCACTCGTGATTCTGATATCGAGTCATCAGTCCTACTGATCAAAGCGGGGCCGCACAACGTAGGCAACGAGGAGCACATGAAACTGAATGATCAAAGACTTCGCTATGTTGTCAGATGAACATGAGGATAGATGTTCTCTTTTTCACGAGCTATATGAAATTGAAGCCTTGTTTCAAGGGAATCCTATATTTACGTAGAAAAGTGGAATTGTAAGCACGAGAAGGACGGAAGTGCTCACCAGTGACACTACACGAAGGAACATGTTCGCAGCCTCTGATTGTTAGGCGCGAGACTTCCTCAGTGGCTTATAGGGCCTCCAGATGTTCTCGAACTATGCGATTATAGAACGCCTGACACTATAGATTCCTCACGCGAATTTCAAGGTCACCAGACCTTATCGCAGCACGCCAATTTGCGTCCAGAGTCATTTACAGCAGTCGACATCATACCACTGTCCAATGTCTTTACAAGATCGGCGCTTGCGCATGCAGCATTTGGCTGGGTCTGCTCAGAAAATGTACGTATTTTCTTATACCAGATCTGCGATCGTCTCGCTGCGATTCTATTATATGAGCTGGGATCCTCTCTCCTTCACCAGCAGCTGCCGGGCGTAAACCAGGCTTGTGGAACCTGCCACCATAACAATCTTTCGCAGGCATGTGATTAAGAATAGCCAATATGGAGACATGATTGATCCACTCACACCACTGAATAGGATAGCTTTGTACCACGTCGAATCGCCCGCTCCAATTAGCGCTCCATTGATTGGAGTACCAATTAGGATAGCCACTGCATAGATCGTGAAGCCCAAACCAATTCGGTTCCTGTGGGAAGTCATCGAACGTCATTCCTCTGCAAAATATGCGGGAAACAATTGTATAACGCACCCCACCTCAGCCGGGGTTCTAGCTAGGAATGAGAGGATCGTCGGAAGCATGGAGAAGCCTGTGACAGGTGCATATCAGCAACCGACGAGAACATACTAATAATCGCTATGAAGATACGCACACGATCCGCTGAAGAATCCATATAGAATGCAGAACACGATTAGAGGTCCTGGCGTTGTCGTGCCGAACATGGCGAAGATGAGCACGCTGCTTGCCCATACAGCCGGACAGACTATGTTGAATTGGCCAGTGTAGTCGCCCAGTATATTCGGCAGAATTTTACCAAAAATTGAGGCGGCGTTGAGGATCGCAATCTGGATTATAAGACATGGTTAGAGACAGCGAATGAGCGTAGAATAAATTAGTACGAACGCTGTAGAATGCGAGCGTCTCAGACATGTGATAAGATCGAGCCCACGTCTGCAAGTAGAAGTCTAATACCTCGGGTAGTTAGCAAGAACAATTTAAGGATTATCATGAGCGGCACTCACAAGGGAAAAACAATCCTAGAAGGACAAGGAATAAGCTGATATCAGACGTATATCAGCACTCCCATTCGACGACGATAAAGAAGAGCCCTAGACTCACGACACCACGGCCACAGTGTATGGCTTGTGGGTGATTATCGATGCTATGGATGGCTGAGAGCCCTTCAGACGATTCTTCCCAGAGGGTAAACGTGTTTTCATCAGAAAACAAGAGGCTACGAGGATCACGAGCGTCAGAAACGCTGATCCTCGAATGGCCCATGCGAATCCCGCAGAGGAACTGAACAACTTGTTGAGCATGATGGGATAAACAATACCACCTGCGCACGAGCCTGCAACCATGTCAATTCCATGTGCATCTGCGCATAAAGCACCCGTACCTGATTGCACAACGCCAAGAGCGAGAGAACGCTTCTTGTTCCAGTAGTGGGACACAACGGACAGCGAGGGCGAGAGAAGCAGTCCACCGCCCAGACCCATACCAACGCCTTGTGCCAAGAACAGCTGATAGTAGCTGCTAGGATCTGCTAGGGAGAGCATGAAGAGACTATACAAGATTTAATGACGCTTAGTAGTATACGTGTTGAGGTATTCACTCACGAGAATACAAAGAGAAATGTACCAGTGATGCAGAGGTAGCGGAAATAACCCAGGTCGAAGAGCCTGCCAGCGGGATAGCCCATTCCGAAAAGGAGGAAGATCTGCGAATTTCCATATCAGCGCCATTCAGGATGTCGCTCTGGATACATCTACTTGTATAGACCCAATCCAGCTGATATTGGACGTGGACGACGCGCCCGCTAGACCGTAATAGTCTTGGCATACACCGAATGATGTTGAGTAGCCGAATGTGCAGAAATTCACAATCCACCTAGGAAGGCGGGGGGATTGTCAATGCTGTCGATTCTGTGAGACGAGATGGATAGCTGACGCACGCTCCCAATATGACCAACCATGCCTGGAGACCACCATCCGGAATCGTGATCTCAGGCTCAGAATCGTCCGTCGTGTCCGTGAGGATAGGACTTGGAGGGTTTTGTTCGAGATATGTCTCTTTCGTTGCTGCAATTTCAGAGGCAGACACGTTTGACTTGACTTCGTTGAAACTCATGACTGTCGTGGCTTGGCGGGGGTGAGAGATCCAGAGGAGGACAAGATTCATGGTCTGCCTTACATCGTGAGTATAACATACTCGCGCGAGTCTTCTACATCGACCGAGGCTCTCCGTCGGCGAGTTGTTGCGCAATAGAATGATCATGAGTGCCTGGAGAACGTCACAAGGCTATCGAGCAACGAGACGGTTACAAGGGCGGAGCTCCGGGAGGAGTGTGCTCAAGGATATGTGATCGTGGAGAGGCACGGTATTACTTTAACGCAACATTATCCTCGTACTTCCGGAGGGCACCACTGCACTCGTGATGCTTTAGAAGCTAGCGGTGAGTTTCTGGCTGGAGATAGCTTGCACGGACGCACCCTTTCTATGGGAAAAACCTGCCCTATGCCGTTGTCCCAATGCATCTCGCGCCCCATGGGCTGCGCCGGCGTGACCACAAGTCTGGACACTGAATTGAACAGAATGTCCGGAATGTCTAAGACAAGGGGTCGGAAAGATGGCGTGAGATAGACCTCGGCATGCGAAGGGGTCCTTACTATTCGTTGTCTAGGTATTCGCAGATCGACCCTCGAGACGCAATTCGGACGCGCGCCTTCGATCCTTCATCTGCCAGCCTCGAGTCTTCGTGGCGCGCCACAAAGATGAAGCCTCGGTTAAGCGCCAATAAACGCCTCGAGCGGCGTGGCGGCTGCCAAGAGCGCTAATTGTCCTTCCCCCGAGCACAATCATATTTATGTCTCAGCAGACCAACGTTCTTACTGCGGTGCGACCACAAATACCGAGCATTCAATCTTCAGTCATATCCATCGTGCCATTATAAAGACAAGGTTAAAAGCCCGGAGCTTCTGACCAATGGCAGAGACCGCTTATCAGGGAGTCAAGACTGAATGAATGCGCGCGTTCCTGATATCACACGGCTCCATATCCGACAAAAGAATAGCGGGAATTGGAAAAGAAGAAAAAAGGGGAGCAATCCACCGACCATAGTCGTTGTTCACGCGCGTCGTTGCTCAAATGCGTGGAAATAGCAGTACAAGTACAACGGGGCACCCAAGGGCCCCGTCAAGCCAGCGTAAACCCGGCGGCACCAGTCTACACTTGAGGTCTACAAAATCTGCGTTCCCTTTTCCCTCCCTAAAAGATACCTCGAGGAAAGCAGGAGCGTGCACCCAGCCACCATTATGATCTGTCCAGAATCGATCAATCCCTTGAATGACGGAGGGACCGAGATGACGACGACGTACGCCGCTGAACAACAGTGCTTTGTACCAGTGGTACGAGTCGCCGGGTCCAAGCACCGCCCCGTCGATGGGAGTTCCGATGAGGACAGCTAGGCCAAAGGTCGAGTAGGCGAACCCAATACGGTTGCTATGGCGAGGAGATAGAACTCAGCGTGCCTTCCAGTACGGAGGACAAGAAAGCTGTGGGCACATACCCTACTTCAGCTTGGCTTCTCGCCATGAACGCCATGAGCGGAGGCATCAATGCAAAGACTAGACGAAACCGGATGAGCTCCCAACGATAATAGTGGCGTAGAAGAGCATGGGATGGGACGTACGTACATGAACCACTGAAGAAACCGTACAGGAAAGAGAAGACAATAATGGGCGCCGCCTTCGTCGTGCCGAACATGGCAAAGATGAGAACGCTGCAGCCGTACGCTACGGGGCAGAGAACGTTGAACATGCCCACGTAGTCCGCGAGGAAGTTGGGTATGATCCGCCCAAAGAATGAGCCCGCGTTGAGAATCGCAATCTAGGAGCAAGGAGACACGCTAAAGCCTCGAAACGGCAATGGACGCCCAATGGCACGCGCACCATGTAAAATGCCAAGTCATCCGACATGCTGTAGTACCTTGCCCATGTCTGCAGGTAGAAATCTGACCACGACGTTAACGCTGTGCGCGCCACAAAGTACCAGAGCCCACTCACAGGGGAAGAAAATCCCGATGATAACCATCAAGAGCCTGCAGGAACATGTCAAATTTGCGTCGCCAAGCCAGCACCGCGCCACTACTCACGACACGACCGCGATCGAATACGGCACATGCGAGAACACCTCCTTCACTGACGGCGTTGCCCCCTTCACGCCATCCCTGCCGGTGGGCAGACGCGTGCGCATGACGCAGCACGAGATGATCAGGAGGCCCAGGGTCAGGAATGCCGACGCGCGCATGCCCCACGCGAAGCCCGCCTTCGCATAGAAGAGCTTGTTCAGCATGATGGGGTACACGATGCCGCCTGCGGACGATCCTGCGGTGCTGCTGCTGTAGTCTCGCACCGACGCAGAGTCCGAACCTGCACTTGCCTGACTGCACGATGCCGAGCGCGAGCGCGCGCCGTTTCTTGAAGTACTGAGACTGGATGGACAGCGCCGGCGTGAGGATGAGCCCGCCGCCGATGCCCATGCCGATGCCCTGCGAGAGGAGCAGCTGGTAGTACTTGCTGGGATCCGCGATTGACAGCATGAAGAGGCTGCGACGGCGTCAGGGCCGCGAAGGGCTAGCCAATCGCGGGCGGCACCACTCACCAGAAGACGAACAAGAACGAGCCGAATATGTTGACGTGGTAAAAGTAGCCCATATCGAACAGCCGCCCGGCGGGCAGGCTCATCGCGAAGAGCAGGAACATCTGTGGGCCTGCACGATCAGCGCGGGGGGACGTCATAGCACGCGAGACGCGACCTGGATGGACCCGATCCAGCTGATGTTGGACACCGTCGACGCGCCAAAGACGGTGTAGTAATCCTGGCAGACCCCGAACGACGTCGAGTAGCCGAACGTGCAAAAGTTGACGATCCACCTGTGGGGCGGACACGCTCGGTCAGTGCGCAGCGGGCGGGGCGGGGCGGGGCAGAACGGCAGCGCGGCCCACTCGCCCTCCGAGCACGGCGAGCCATGCGTACAGGCCCCCTTCCGGATACGTGATCTCAGCCTCGGGGACGTCTTCCAGACTCGACAGAGCGGGGATCGTCGGGCTGGCGGCGAGCGACTTCTCCTCGTCCTGCGCCGCACCTTCGGTCATGGACACGTCCGCCTTTGCCTCGCGCGCGTTCATGTCGGTGGCGATCGTCGTGAGCAGCGAAAAGACAGCGCAAGAGAGGGCAGAAAGCACCCACTACGCGCGCTGCCCCGCGCCACGCCCGGGCGATCGTACATATCCTGCGGGGGCCCCCCACGCCCCGGAGAATCTCCGCCTGCGCACAGCCGTCGACGCGAGCTGCCCCGCACGAATGGCCACGCGCGCCGCGCAATGCGAGCATCACAAGACCGCGCGGCGGCTGCACGTTCTCAAGCGGGACACCTTGGGGCGCCGGGGGAACGTCGCGCGCAGACCACAGGCGCGGTAGAAGCGAGGCACCACAGCCAGTTGGCTCGCCTAGCAGCCCCTAGAAGCCTCCGATCCGTCTTGGGCCGGCACGGGATTCGCTGGCGTACCTCGGCGATGAGAAAACGCACCCAGGGACGGGGGCTCTGTGTCTGGCAGACGTATGCTCCACAGACGGCGGAGGCAGAGGCATCCAGGCGGCAAGCATCTGGCGGTGCGTCGAAAAGGGCTCAGGCTCGCAACGCGTTGGAACACCCTGCGATGGCTCCTCGCGAAACGCACAGAGACGATCAGTAGGACACCGGCATGGAGCGTGGGCTGCTGCGGGGCCAGAAGCGCGTACTTCGCTGCCAATTAAAGCCGGAGGAACTTCGAGTCGTCCGGAGTCGTCAGCTGATCGAGTTCAGGAGGGCTATATGTCTTCACGGGCACGCGCCGCGGGCGATGCACCCAACGCACCCACCCAGGCTGCTGGTCATACCTGCCTGTAAGCGGAGTGGAGCTCGGGCACCAGGACGGTCAGCGAGGGCATATCGCACGGCCCAACCAGACTCTGCGCACCCCACGGGGAAACGAACTCTCTACCAGGGCCGAACGGGTCCGGTCGCAGCGTCCTCGGACCAATGGGCTGTCGCGGTGCACCACTTTCATTTTTCGTTGGCTTTCTTTTCTGTTTTCTGTTTTCTGTTTTCCTCTTTCTGACGCGCCTGGATGTCCGATGGTCGCGAAACATCCTGGCCTGGGATGACCTGCCGGAAAGCCCCGGGCCTGGATTGCAGGAGCCACCGATACGATAGTAAAAACTCGAATAGCGCCGCATGCTGCGGCAAAAGCCTTGCTCGGAGGGCAGTGGATTGCGTGATGCATGTTTTGTTTCGCAATAGGATAGTCTGTCTATGTACAAACTGAAGTTCACGCTATAAGCGATGAAGTGTAGTCTAGTAACTTGTCCCCTTCCCCTTGCATCTTGTCACTGTCTGTTACGTCTGGCTTTGGTGTTTTATCTCGTCCAAAGGCGCGCATCACAAAGACAGACCTTGAGGTGCGAGAGGAGAAACTGTAGGCGTGGTTTTATATCCTGACGAACCGGCATCAGCTGAGGGGCAGGTGGTGTAACTTACTCGACCGCCGGCCTGTGTTCTCGTGCAACTGAAGAGGACGAGGACGTTCGGTGTCGAGATGCAAGGAGGAAGCAGACCGAGACGTACCGTACATGAGACCCGAGTTCCGACTACCGCAGCCCTATGCATGTACAGACGATCGAGCACGGGAATTGTCCAGAGCGGCATCGTTGACGTAGCTACACCCCCAGAAAGAGGAGAAACACCATTCGCACACTGGGAGACGTCGATGTGGAATCTCGCGGTGCGTCGGACGAGACTGAGTGTACGCCAAGATTGCTGCGCTGCTTGCCTCGTGAGTCTAGGTTGGGTCTATGGACGTCTGCATCTTTTACTTTACCACCGTTCTTTTGTGTTCTCGTCTCGCGTGAGGCTTCTCAAGCGGACGCCCTCTTGCGCTGCATGCTCGTCTCGGGGCTGGAACGAGATGTCTTCACATAGGGCAGGAGTCTGTGGAGGGCCGCGCCAGCGGGGGTAGTGTAGATAACGAATAACGGAACAGCGTAGGAGGTGCGCAGAGGTAAGAAGAAGCGGAAGCGCACCACACGGCCGCAGCACACGAAGGTAACTGTATCCAACACGCCAACGTCTCGCGACTCCTGCGACTCGGGAGAGCGCCGCTTTGGTGTCGGCCCACCGCACGTATTCCGGCCCACACTCGCCGCCAGCGCTCGGGCGTCGGCATCGAGTAGCACAGGGAGGGGTGCGCTCCTCAGGCCTCTGAGCCAGATGCACGGGCCCTACGCACGTATACGCACGGTACGGCGAAAAGGAGCACTGGCGGGAGTAGGCCACGGCGTTGGAATTTAAGCTTGAAGCCTGAGGCCTGAGGAGACAGACTCGGTCGGCTGTCCCGGGCCGAGGGCGCCTCCAACGCTCTCAACGACTCGACTTTCCCAGCGTCCAATCTTAATGATACATGCAGTACTTGTTTCGACGCCCAACGCCCAACTTGGTTGCTCCAAAACGCTGCAAATGCATCCTCGGCTGCAGAGCACAGCTCAAAGCGCAAAAGCCGGTGGGATTTTGCCGGAGTTTTAGAGAACAGTGCCCATGTCTGCACCGAACACCGATGTGTGACTGACGCCCAAGTCACTACACACTATAGCACCACCACGCATGCGCTAGGTCGCCCTGACGTCGACAGCCCACTCACAGCAGGTAAATCAGGTTGATCAAAAATTGACATTAAGCTCGACGGCTCTAAATCTCACTAGACTATTCGCACATCAAGAAATCCATCGCGGGTACACATACAAACGCAACCGGCCCCGCGGACCCGCGCAAAACCAAGCACACTCACACTCCGTCGTCACACACATTAGACACTCCTGCGACGCATCCCGACCCTGCACTCCAACGGCTTGCGCAGGAACCCCTCCCGAATATCCAGCTGCCGCACCAAGTACCGTGAGTCGCGCCGTCGGACCAGAACCCAAAGACAGACAGAACGCACCTTCATCTCCGGTGTCTCCAGCACAAAGTGGTACCGCCGCAGGACGGACGCAAGGATGATCAGCAGCTCCATGCTCGCCAGGTTGCGCCCGACACAGCTCCTGCACACCGACGCGAACACAGAGCGTCAGCATCCACAACGCATATGTGCACACACACACCGCACACACCTCGGGCCAAACGAGAACGGGTTGAACGCCTTCTGCATCGCCTTCTCGTCCCGCTCCAGCCACCGCTCCGGCCGGAACACGTCCGCGTCGTCCCCCCACGCCGCGCGGTTCCGGTGCACCGTGTACGTCGGTACCGACAGCACCGTTCCGCCGGGGAAGAACTCGCCCAGCACCGTGATCCCGCCGTCGGGCACGACCCGCGGCAACCCTATGCCCGACGTCGAGTGCACCCGCATGCCCTCGTTCACCACCGCCTCCAGATACCGCAGCCGCTTCACCTGCTCAAACGTCGCCACCGCCTCGTCGTCGTTCCCGAGCACCTCGTCCAGCTCCTGCTGCAGCCTCTGCTGCACCAGCGGGTTCGCAGCCAGGTGGTACGTGATCGCGCACGACGAGCTGTGTGTGATCCGTCAATCCGTGCGTCACCACACACGAAAGAGCACGACGTACTTTGACGTGGTATCCGATCCCGCAATCAGCTGCGTGAGCGCCTCGGCGGTCAGCTCCGCCCTGCCCATCGGGTTTCCCTCGTCGTCCTTGCCCTCTTGCAGCTTCGCCAGAAGGTCTGCGCGGTCCGCGGGTGCTGTGAGTCGCTTCGCAACCGCCGCGATGGCGATTCCGGCCAGACGCTTCACCTGCTCCCCGCCGTTGCGGTACCACGGGATGAAGCGCACCGCGAGCGGCCGCCAGTGGGGCGGCAGCACGCCCATCGACGCCGAGTACTCGCCGCGGTCGTTCAGGACCTGCACGGCGGGGAAGTACTGCACCTTGGCCGCCGCCTCCTGGCCGTACGACTCCATTGCGGCCTTTTGGGACGTTGCGACCGGTGCCGCGTCCGCGCCGGCGAGCAGCATGCCAAAGGGTGCACCGAACGCGAGGTCACCTGGAGCGAGTGCGAGTGCGATCGCGTGAGCAGGCAGTATGCAGCGGTCAATTGGACGGGCGGCTCACCGATGATGTCGAAGGCGAGGTAGTTGAACCAGGGGAGACAGTCGAGCCAGACACGCCCATCCGCGCCTCTCCAGCCCTCGCCCTCGGGGCCCGACATCCCCTTTGCGCCCTGTTCGCACATACGGTCCCATTGGCTGATGAGGGTGGCGACGTGTATGCGGGTGTAGGGCTCGAACTCGAGGACGCTCTTCTGGGAGAAGATGTGGGAGACAATCTTGCGCTTGCGGGCATGGTCGGGGCGAGAGCGGGTGTTGAAGAGGCCGCGCTGGATGGAGACAAAGGCGTCGTAGAAGTTGGATTTTGTGGTGCCGTTTCCGTGTGCGTAGACGTCCTGGATAGCGTCAGGATCGGCTATGGATACGTGGTTGGGGGCGAGGCGGACAAAGGTGCCTGTACTCGAGCCCAAGGGTCAGCAGAGGAGTTACGGAATATAAGAGACGCGAGAAAGGAGGACTGGAATGCGCATCGGCGTAATGCCAAGCGAGTGGTCAGGAGCAGTAAAAGCGACTGAAGGGGTGGTTCTCGGAAAAGGTCCGATTTGAAACGGATTCGAACAGCGGACACCGGTGAAGCTGGACAAGGACATGTATCTACCCGCTCTTGGCATGGCCGAGCGTGCTTCGACGGGCGGGGCAACACGGGTAGAAGGGGAGCACAGCCGGCGAGAGCTGGGTTCCCTGTGAAGCGGGGGGGCAGTGCAGGAGCGCGCAGAGGCGGCCAATCAGGGGGAGGGGGTCATTGAGTATGACGTGTAGGCTACCCCAGATCGAAGACGAGAGCAAGGCCACATGCGAGGGGAGGGGACGGACAAAGATGAGGGAGGGACGCGGGGTACGCACCGTGTTTCTTGTGCAGCTCGTGCACGACCTCTGAGCGACGGCCCTGGGCGGCGACCCAGCCGAGCCAAGCGTCGGAGAAGCGGGCGAGGAGGGGCCCGGGATACTTGCGGACGTGATGGGGGTCGAGGAGCCAGGGGACGAGGTGGACGAGGAGGACGGCGGCGGGGACGAGGGCGGCCCAGGTGAGCGGGCCGGCAGCGAGGAAGTGGTCGAGGACAGACATGATGGGCGGTATAGAGTGTGGGAGGGGGCGAGGAGGGGATGTGTTGGTGGCGCTGATGGACGCCGTGGAAATATATACCTGGCCGGCGAGGGGGGTGCGAGAGAAGACGGGGTCGTGAGCAGAGCGCCGGTCGGCTCCCATGACCGTGAGGGGAGGACGAGACGCCGCCCCCTGCGACCGGGTTTGGACATGGGCCGGCTTCGGACCTTCATGGAAGGGCTTGTAGAATAGGTATGGAAAGACATCGCCTGTAGCGGGTCGGGGCACATCGTGCGTCGCATTTCGTCGTCCGAATGGCCGGGATCAGGGCTCAGGAAGGACAGGTCGGAGAAGAGACGAGCGCATCAGAGGGCTGCTAGCAGATCGCTGCCAGTGGAGGGAGAATCTCCTCCGAGATATTGCATCCGTGGATCGCCCGGCCAGCCACTGAATTTGAATCCCAACGCGAGGCCAGCTGGCATCGACCCCAGCTGTCTCCCAGCGCTTAGTTTAGATGACGCAACGGACACCGAGTCGCCATGCGCAACACATTGCCAAAGGCCACACCCGACGCCCGTTATGGAAAGCCGCCTTCCATACTGGGATACAGTCTGCCACTGCGGCATCCACAGGCTCGGCCTGCATCTTCTCCCAGCACGACACACTCTGACGCACTCCACTTGCACACCGAACGGTATTCTACGACGTCCAATTCCGTGATGAAATTCTTACTTTCTGCCTATGGCCTTTGTCTCGTGCTCGTGTTCGTCATCGCTTACTCAACATCTAGTGTATTTGTACTTGGAGCTAGGGGTTCGCAAGGAGTGTACGGCCTCATGTAAGCCTGAGATGGCCGATTGTTTTCCTGCCATTACAGAAAGACGCACGCATTGTCAACCAAGATGGCACTTGAAGGCCATGACGTCGCGACACATGCTCATAATATAATATTCGACGTACTCGCCTGTAGCTCCATCTCCCTCCCTCCCTCGGTCAACTGCTCCCTGACAACCCCGTCAGGGTTCTACTCCATCTTGTTTCGTCTCTTACTCCTCTCAAATCGATCCCGCATTCTGTTCGCAACCCTCGTCGTGACTTGGCCGTTACATCGAAAACGTATAGAGCAACCAGCGATATGAGAAATACAAATAACAACGTCAACACGAGCAGCTTCATCACAAACACAGGCCACATATAATCCAGTCCTCCTGCGACGGCCCCAGTCAATGTGCTCCGCTGCTGCACGGTCGCCTCCCCCGGTCCGTTTCTTGCACAACCCTCGCAATCTCCGCATCCGCACACGCCAGCAGCGAGTCGCGCGCCTGCACAAACGCTTCCTCCTGCCTCTGCCGCAGCGCCTCCAGCAGCGGCGCCACCCACGCCCGCACACTGCTCTCTGCCGCATCCCGCAGCCCCGCCATGACCATCTCCACACTGACTGGCACGGGCCCAGGCAACGGCAGCGCCCCCGCGACCTCGCGCGCAGGCAGCCCCGCCATCTTGGCAGACACAAACTCGCTCAGCTCCAGGAACTCCTGCTCCATCGCCTCGAACGGCTCCTTCTGCTGCGCCTCCAGCTGCACGCGTGTCAGCCGATCCACCGCACGCAGACAAGTACGCGCGTGCTCACCGTGTCGATTTGCGCTCGCAGCGCCTCCATTTCCCGCTCCCGTTCAGCGTCCCGCCGCCGCAGCGCTTCTGCCTCCGCCTCCAGCTCCGCATTCCTCTCCACCACCCGCCCGAACTCGGCCTCCAGGACCCGCAGCCCTGCCCTCACCTCCCCCGACACCCGCCGGAGCTCTGCGCACTCCGCGGCCAGCGCCTGCAGCTGCGCCTCCTTCTCTACAGGGAACAACGGGGCACGCACAGGCTCCGCCGCCCGCGCCAGCCGCGCGTCGAAAAGCCGCTCAACCTCGTCGCGCATCTCCTCCTCGTGCAGCCGCAGCTTCCGCCGGGTCCCCTCCGCCAGCCTCTCCACCGCGTCCACCCGCGCAGCGACCTCCGCCCGCCGCGCCGCGTCCTCCACGCCGTCCGTGCCGCCCTTTGCACTCCCCGCACCGTCCGCACCTTCCCCCCGCCGCCGGTCGAGCGCCTCGAGCCGCTTGCTGACGACGAGCAGCGAGTATGATACCTGCCCCGCCACGTCCCTCAGCTCCTCCAGCTCTCCCGCCGTCTCCGTTTCCGTCTCCGCTGGCGCCGCCTCCGCCGCTCCGCCCCCCAGCACAGCGCCCCATC